ATCATCAAAAATAACATTTAAGAATCTTTAATAAGTGATGTATGGGAATGATGGTAATGGTGATGAGCGCTATTGACTAAACAATAGCAGAGTTTAATTCACGTGTCACTGATGACCTAATTAAAAACTGGTAATCATATTCTAAGAAGAGCATTTAAGCGTGTCTTCTTTTTTAATGGGTTTACATTTTTTTTCAAATTACTTACTCCAATAATTGAAATAAGTCCTATTAGTTCACTTTAGTGATGGAGTTTTGATGAAACATATGTTGTTGAAAATCCTTTTTTCTCACAGAGAACAGCAAAGAATTTAATTAATTTATCAAATCCACTCATTTCAAATAATGTTTTTCGGATAAACGTTTCTGTGTATTTTCAACATATAAGTGTACATGAGCATCTTTCTCAAAATAGTGTTACTCTCTATCGCATGTAAACAATGTCCCTAGTATTTCTAAACATGTCATCTGGAACTACTTATTAACTAATCCGGTGTAGACAAAGTAAAGTTTTTCCATTATACAATGAGCGAAAATTGTTTTTTGCATCAAATAACAAAACATTTACATAGACTGTAGAAATTGCATTATATTTCTTCTATGCATGGAAATAATTAATCAGACTACACACTAACATTAAGATATGTGGATAAACTCTACTCTTTAAGTTAAATTGTATTACATATGATTTAGAAATTTAGAAGATTGTTTACTGTTAGTTGAGCTTCTTATCAACTTAATGATTTATTCCCACGCAAAATATTTCAAAACACATCTGTTCAAACTATTTCGACTAAATGTTTTTACCTATGGTGTCTGGATAGTTTCTAAAAATGATAGTGAGATTCTAATAAATGAACTAAGAAAGACACAGTAACACACTCAATGCCGATTCTATAGAAATGTTGTTAAATGGTCACAGTTCCGGGTGTGAAACTCACAGGATAATTTATACATGAATAGAGCTGAAGACTTGAAAGACATGACGGAACAGCTTTAAGTATTGAATTATGATTATGCTTCTCAAAAAGATATCGTACATTATTAATTTTCCTGATTCATAAGTTACGAAAATCAAAACTGTTACTCAAATATTAACTGCATTATCATATTATTTTTGCATTTGGTAATATTTAACTACTTAATTAATACTCATACTTTTACTTATAAATCGACTGGGGTAGCAAAGATATTTAAAATGGAATAAATTAATTAACTTTAGATTCATTTACAGAATTGAAATTGAAACAAAGTATAAGAAAGATGTAATAGTCCGAATTACCATTTCTTTAAAGTATTGTTCTGAGTAGTAAAATGCAAACAGTGGTCATATTATGTTTGGGTTTCCTGCGGAAAATTGATCTCCTTGCTACTAGTGTGATCATTTAACCTCTCATTACAATAGTGCATATTAATATTTCGCTCCCTAAATTAAGAAATTAATGTTGTTATTCGACAAGACAAGGCCGATTTTCCGTCATCTTGATATTTTTACTTCAATTTATATTCAAAATCTGAATCAACCTATATCAGTTTAAACCTGTTGATGTGTTTCACAGATTATGTTCAAATTGTGATTGCAAAGAAACTCTATCTCCCTTTAGAATAAAATTGAAATTTTAAAATAAATTTACTTTGACAGCTACTTACTTATATCTGCAAACAACTGTTCAAGTTAATTAAACATATCAAATGACGATAACACTGTGGTTCAGTGAATTGAAGTACATAAGGAATTTATCAGTTTAGCTTCGTCGAGTCCAAAAATGATTAATTTAGAGTATAACGTTTTGCGCCACTAATTCAAAACTCTAGAGTAAATTTTCCTCTATCTGCCGTGAAACTCCGCACTGTTTACTTGAGCAGTTAGTATTTCCCTAAATATATATATTTCATTTTTAAAGTTAAAACCAAGAAAATTGTCTGGTCATATTTTCGAAATACAAAAATACTTTACCAGGCCAGTATTTTTTTCTTAGTATATCAAGACCTTATTTTTAGTATCCATTACAAATAACATAAGGTTTCACCTGAGTTATCAGGTCTATCAGAATCAAATAAAACCAATCAGTTATAAACAAACATAAATCATACGCTTTTTGAGCAGACATATCACAAATTATTATATTCTTATCCTTGTAAATACATTTATAAACCCGTTCTATAGGTGTCGAATAGAAATAAAAGAAAACTGTGCTGTCATTTTAAATAGGTGAAAATGAGTGACAGTAAAGCAGATGGTATCTATTTTGCTACTTATTTTTTCATCGACACACATTGTTATAAATGACAGCTTCTAACGAGTACTATCATCGTTTCATTCATAGCAAAAATATCGTTGAGAAAAACAAATCATGTCAGTTTCATTTAAATCTAACTGTTACTTGATTATAGGATGAAAAGAATTAATCTAATATTATCTTTCGAAATATAATAGGTAATATGTATAAATCAAATACAATGAACTACCCATCATTCTACTTTGGGTTTTAATACTATCAATCGAATGATATTTCAATTTACGCCCAATGAGCTATTCAGAATAATAACCTACTAACCATTACCTGACTATATAATATTTATTCATAAACCTTCAGTTTTCGAATTTCATTTCATTTTTTTGTATATTCCTTGTGCTAACTTACTTTATAGCGAGAGTTTCTTAAATAAAGCTCTGTATAAAAAAACTATTTTAGTTAGATCGAAATATCTTGTCAAACTGAGTGAGTATGTAGTATTTATGTTTACTTGTTATTTCGATGGTGACGTGTTTCATGGTACATTTCCATTGTTCACCTTGATCATTAAGTTAATTTGTAATATTATGACTAAACTGCCATAAATGCATTACTACAGTGAACTTTTTATGCTAAAATTCAACGAGAGGAATGTCTCTGAATGATATTTTATTGTTCTAGGAACTCAAAACTATGACTATTGTTCCGTACAATATATTTAGTCACATTATTGGAACTGCCACTCACAGACACAATTTTAACTAACAGATTTTGTATTGGGTTTAAGTGAAGTTAATCTGAATTTATTTTATCAACAGGAAATAATTTCATTCATGTATACAAAATTGCTGAAGTGATCCAATGGCCTATTTTTTCTGTTTTAAATGCTAATTAATTATCATTAGTTAAATCGTTATTCATTAAACAAATAACTGTCTCTGTTGACTGACAAAATTGGTTCATAAACATATTAAAAAGGGATTATTTATTCGTTTATTTATTGATTTACTTTTTACTGCATTTACCATCTCGTTATTTATTCATGATGTCAAGCCTATTATTTATCACAAGGGCGAGTTAGATCCTTCTATCTTTGAACACTGTGAAAATGGTTTAGTATTATTTAGTTTGATCAAACAACTTAAAGTAATTACTCTATGAACCATTAAAATTATTGTGAGAATGGAAATTCAACGAATGGTATTTATTGTACCTTGAGAAATTTACTGTTCTGTATGCCCAGTTGAAATGTAAATTAAGTTTTATTATTTATCTCACAGATAAGAAATTTATAGATCCTATTCGGTAGACGAAAGTATGAATGAAATAACTGTTATTAAACCTTTGATTCACTTTTTGGTTTAGTCAGCATTTATTGATATTACTTTCCGATAACTTTAGGGGGGAAATTCTCTGTATATTCACAGTATTTCGCTTGTCATTTAACCGTTTTCAGTGATGTTTTATGCTCAATGACATTTTAATTATGATTTTTTAAGTATTACTAGTTTGTTCAACCATTCTTAAGGTATTTTTTTTACTTGAAGTACACTATCATACTTAAATAAATCTGTTTATTCACTGAGGGATATTTAAATTTATACTGTTGTGTGTGCTAACTTTGATAGCTCACCTTTTTAAGACTAGATGTTTCCGCATCTTCGTAAAAGTTACATAACACTAAATATTTCATTGACTATGATATTATTCTACAATACTGGACAACTTTATTATTGCTTCATTACCTAATCTACAAACTGTAGAGAAATTAAGCTAATTAAACTAAAAATAAACATTTTACTTGTTGATTAGTAAACTTAATAAAAACATGAACTTTTGCTTGATTTCATGTTTAATCTCGAAAACAAGGATGATGCTTAATGTTGTGATGTCACACTTCCTAGACAATTATAAATATTCAATTTTTGTGGAGCAGACACACTCCAATTCATAATGTCAAGCTCTCCATAGTTAGGTGTGAGTTATGCATTAGTGATGTCTACCCGCTCCCAGGAATCTAGAATTGGCGCCGATTTCACCACCATTAGTTGCCTATAGTTACCAATTACTTTCGAATCTTAGTTCTATTTATCCATTCTACAAACAGTGAAACTTAACTTCTGATCCTGAAACATAATTGTTCAAAACTCAGTTTTAAATTTCGGAGAGTCTGGTACACTATGACTTAATGCTGGGTGGAAAAGCGCCACTAATCATACTTTTGCAACTTAGTCCATCATCGTTGTATGTGCAATTAAATCTTCCATCAAGTCTATCTCAGTTACTTTATTTCTGGATGTGGATCATTTTATCGATATAAAGATTTTTAATTTCAATGTGATGTATAACTAAACTGGCACTTATTATGTAACTTATGTAAATATCAGGATTCACATTTCATTTTCCGATATCATTTTATTATATTAGGCGAAATTAATATTGAAATCTTATTGCTTTTTTATTAAACAAGACCTCGGAAGCTGTAAAATTTTGAAAATTAAATGTTGAATTATTCAGATTTTTGAAACTATGTTAGTCAAAGTACTTGCATTTGCTTAAAATGGAAAAAATATTTTAACTAAATGATGTTTTTTTAGAGTGTATAGTAAAAATTGAACAGATACCCAGTTACAAATTGATAAAGAAGTTTTGTAAGCTTTAAATTCAGTACTCACTTCATATTTTGGTAGTAATCCTGTAGGATTGGTTTTACTGTATTATTTCTTACTTGTAAGATAACTGTAATTTCTATTGACTTCATGTAGCACCATTTCTGAAATCAGACAGTTACTGCGTCATTGAATGTGACTTGAATACCCAAATTCCTGTTAATGGAACGTGCAAGGACTGTCCAAAATCTGGATGTCCTGAACGTAAGTTTTATGCAAAGCGTTTTACGTAAAATTTTATAAACATTTACCCATACTACTAACTTGAAAATTTGTAACTTCATGCAAAATGAAATTGAAGGGATCCGCGGAATATAAATATCTTCACTTTTTCAAATTGTTAATAAAACTTTCATGACTTTTCCAATAATTACTTGAAAGCATACCGAAACTCACATTTCCATCGGTTGTTTCGAGTTTAAAAACTAGGGCATTGACAATTATGAAAAATCTACTTCTTTGGTATGAAATAGTCATTTGCCTATTTTTTAGCGCTGTTGGCTTTGTGTATGCATTGTACAACACATCGAAGCAACTTTGATACCGCACATTTTCTCAATAAATACAGTTAACTTTTTACACTTGGAACGATCTACTCATTTTTTAATATGTAAATTTACCGGTAGATGAATGAATTCATTATCACTTCTCAAGTGATGTTGAGACAGATTACGTAAAGAATAATAAACCATAAATAATTCCATATTCATTGTCACGACAATTAAAATACATTAATACATCATCAAAACAAAATAGAATAATTACTACTTCATTTCAAAAGATCATAAGATGGCGGAAAACAGTTTGTTCGAGTTTCAAGTTTGTTGTAAAACGGCTCAACTTTACACAGGCTAGATGAATTTAGAATACACCAGTTTTGAAAATGAGTTGAATTTTATACCTTTAGTTTAGGAAAGTATAATAAAACTGAAGAAAAGCGTAACATCTGGGTAGAAATAAAACGTTTGTAAATGTATCCGGCCTAAAGTGCTCGCGGTGGCAGTAATAATTTATAACCACCATGAATATTTGAATGATTTTGTTCTAATCTCACTTCCAGTTGAGTTTTCAATTGTTTCTTACGAAACTCTGTAGAAGTTGAACGTTTTAACTACATCGGAAAATAAATTTACACCTTATCAGGAAATCATATTTTCGGTTTAGTTATTAATAAGTTATGACAAACTGATAAAGGGTTAGTTCGTGTTTACTCTGTTTGGAATTCGCAAACATTAAGATGAAATGAGATGTAAGTAAGAAGAATGTGGATTCTATAGAGCAGCTTCGTTCATTTTCAGAGTCACGACTCTTCTACGTAGTATTTACTGTTAATTGTTCTTACTTTTAAGATTGTATTTACAAATATCGATCACTTTTTGATTTACCGACTTTGTGCCTCCAAACAACAATCACACACTATTACCTGGAGACGCACGGTGTTAAACATATATTTTATCCTCTTAAACCGTTTTCACAATGTACCCTGTTTAACTATAATGCGAAACAAATTGAATTAGATCCAGGCTTAATTTTCGGTAAAGGACATTCTGTTTGACATAGGAAAATGAGCATGAAATGAAACTCGTTTTGACAACTTTGCTTAGTTTGAGATATATAAGACAGTTAAATTCATTCAAAGGTTTTTCGTAAAACATAAACAATGGTCTTATATTTGAAGCATCAAATTTAAAAACGGGATAGCTTTTAAACTGATAAAAGTTCTATCCTTCTGTAAGTTTGTTTAATCCATCATACAGCTTTCGTCTACACATACTATATCTCCTAAAAGCAACAGTTAGTTATATTTCTTAAATGTTTATAATCAGTTTACTTCCTTAGACAGTCCTTATACTTTCTTTCCTGTTTGAAGGAAACATGTCCACATGTCGGGTGGATAATTTAATTTGAAAACGTTGATTGTATAATGAAACTCAAATATTATACTAACTAGAACGCCGAAGCCGTTCAAAAATGAACTGGAACATACTGTCTGAAAGAGTCTCGCACGATTTAGCTTATTGTATCACAGCTTTTGACTATGAAACTCAGTGGTAACGGAAATACCAAGGTATTGTAATGATATTTTATACGTTGAGGAAATTATATTTCAGTAATACTTTGGTTAATTATTTAATTTATATCCTCTTATCACCGGGAGGGACATTTAAATTTGAGGATAAAGCTGTATCATGGCAAATTTACAATCAAGTTTGGATTGATATTCCAATTAAAAGTAAATAAAATAGCTACAATGAGGTCCTTGATATCTATATCAAGCTTTTTAGACTCATACATTGCTATAAATAAATAAATCTAACTAAATATCAATACAAACAGTTGAATTACTCTGTTGTAAGATTTTTTGTAATACAAAAGTCCCAAACATTTGCTTTACAAACTGGTAAGTCCCAAGTTTTGTTTTTCACTAATAATGGGAGAAATTGAAACAATCTATTTCCAAATTCTTTATGTTAAGGACCTTTAGTACAGTAATTAAATAGTATTGATTATTTCGTTTTCCAGTCTATCAGTTATGTCAAGAATAGGGATTGAAGTTGACTGTGCAAACGTTTAACTTGGAGTTTAACACGAAGTAAATTAGTTATCCCTTTACTGGGATTTCACATTCAGGAATTAATTGAACGCATAAAAATACATTACTGGATTTTTTCTGTTGGTTAAAATTACATCCAACTTTGTTACACCCAATCTGAAAGGATTCAAGTGTTCTACACCACTGCTCCGTGTAATTTACTAAGAAATACTATAAATGATCACTGTTTGCCATGAAAATCGTTACTTCAGATTGTCTGTTAACTCAACCAACTTTTTGGCATTAAGCATAAATTGCGTGAGGTATCGGATTAGCTGAGAATTTAATCTTGGTATTCTTTAACAATGACTGCTAATATGGGCTTCAAATGGACTGATTTTTATCAAAAATATTAATTTTATCATACAGGAAGTTTGTGCTTCAGAAAACAATTCAAGCGATTTTAAATACTAAAACTTTAAGTTGATGGGCTGCTGTAACGATTAAACAATATTTTGAACTGAATAATTTTCTTAACTTTCCAATTTCTAATAAACTTTGCCTCTCGGTATTTCTGTGATGGAAATGCAGATTAGAAAGATCTTTAGATTCACTTTAATGTTTCAGTCAGTCAACATGAAGTTACTGTTTTCTCGAAACCAGAAATCTATTTTACAATTTTTCTCGTTGTTAAGTAATTGTTTTATTGCAAGGATGAAGGATTTCTGTCATTTTTTCTTAATTTTCACCACAGATTGTAAAGAAGAAACAATCTTTCTAAATGGGAGTTTGAATATCTTACAATCAAGTTCACTACGGAAATTTAAATCTTGTGTTTATTATACTGGTGGTTTGTATATAAGTAAAGAATCTTTTCAAAAAAGGTGAATTTATGTTAGTTTTGTTTACTTCATGATGAAAGAATGTTTGGCTATATTTATTAAGATTATCTTATCAATACTGCCTTAGCTTTTCAAAGTTTACATTGTCTATTGTTTTACGAAACGAATAAGTTGTTAGTGGTAAATATCATATTCTCAAATGAATTTTTATTATATTAGTTAGGTCATTAACATAATAAATAAAAGAATAAACTGAACTCAGAAAAGTATAAAAAACTAACTGGTTATACACTCATTTGAAAAACTTCGATATGGATAACTTATTTGGATATCGTAATAAGTGACGATATCTAATGCTTAATTTCTAGAAAACAAAAATCGAATAATTTACGGTATTCACAAAAATAAGTTGTCTTACAGTATGGAAAGATTATGTCATATTTATTCACAACTCACATTTTCTCATACAAAATAACACCCTTAGTTATCCTTCGGATTAATATAATTTATAGTGCTTTTATATTTATGTTTATGGTTAAAAGTGACTATCATTCCATGTAATTTATTCTTACTTTTCCAGAAGACTTTGTAAGATATGTGATAATCATGTGACTGTATTGTCTTCAGTATTTTTGTTAGTTTGAAGACAATTGCTGACAGTTCTATATAACCAAAATGCAATATACGATATCAAACTTCCTTGATGATAGTTTGATGTTATATTCGTTTCAGTATTAAGACGAAAATCTAATAAAAGTACGAATTTGATCGTTATTTTCTAAATATCAGACTACAATGTTTGTACAATGATCCAAACCGTCTGATATGCTTGTTTACTACAATATTTTCTTACCTATGTGAGTGCTTTCAAATTAAATTAACAAACTTTTAAGAGTGAGTTTATGGTACGTTGTGAAAGTAAAAGGAGAGAGAAATCGAACTGAGATTTAAGATTTTATTTCGTTCGCTTCATTATCATTAAATAATATATTTGTTACTTTGAATTCATTATTTGAAAATTTTCTTGTGATTGATTATCGATTTTTTTGTTTTCTTGTTCACAGTTCATTGTTTCCAGATCCAATAGAAAACGTCAATGAACTCTACAATTTGTTGAACCTGAAATCAATTGTTGGGTACATCTATTTTGATTTACGTGGAGCTCCAGAAGAATTGAAAAATTTAACATTTCTGGAAAATCTAGAATCAGTTGTTTTGGAAGGTATGTTGAAGTTATATTGCAAAAAAAGATATTTATAAGTTCGTGCGAAACAAAATAAATACTAATGAACGTTTGAAGAATTTATGGTTAACTGAATACTTTAGATGAGTTTTTAGAACAAATAATTCTTTAGAGCATCTTTTCTGGCGTTTAACAATATAGAATTATAACACATTAACCCTTGCAACTGGTTTAAACTATTAAATACCAGTAATGTTTATGTTATTCACATACTGCGGGTTTCTGATAGGTGGAATTAGGCTAAAAATATCTCTAACATATGTTGATCAGCGCTATTATCGTATCTAATAATTATGACAGAAAAGTTCACTTACAATTACATAAGTAAACAACTCAATAATAAAAGTACCCTTTATTTTCTAAGATTAAAATTAAAACATGCTTCTAAACATTTTCAGTGAAAAGTCAATCACCAGGAGCAGTGATTACAATTATGAACGGAGAATATATCGAGTCATTTGGTTTCAAATCACTTACTAATATTGGAGGTTTTGTATATTTGAAGAATATGCCAAAATTATGTTATATTAGTGCGTTAACAAAAATGTTACCTGTACGTATGATAGATGTACAAGATGAAGAACTTTGTGGTATGTTTATATTTTATGTATGATCATTTAACGTTGCCTTAGATCTTACTGATCTTCTGTAAGCATTTTGATAATCTAGTTTGTGAATAGACTCGTCTTACATATATAATAGTGAAGTATTATTTCTCCAAAGACATCTGAAAAGACGAAAAGAAACTAAAGAAATATTTGAATAAGGTTGACTTGCGGCACATAAATAAAAATAATATATGCTTATTTTACTCCAGCCTAACGATAGTGAACTTGATGGAACTTTGATGTATTACAGCTGTGAAAGTCACATCCTGAGGTACCGCGAAACAGATCGCATTCATATTTTGTAATAAAATTCCACTAAATAGCATTCAAGTGCCTCCGAGACATTATTTACCACTGACTATAAAAAAACGTTTAATTTTATGGAAAAAGCCGTTATTTAGTCACGATATAACTCACAAAAAAATGTTATTAGTTTTTTATCACTAGTTGATTGAGCAATTACATATTTGCCGTTAAAACCAACGTAGAGTTTTTCAAGGAATTATGTAATCTTTATTGGGCCAAATCATTAAAAAAATCCCGTATGCATCTCAACAAAAAATGTATTGGAAAAAGATGATGCTTGTGTCAGATACTTTGTCATCATAACTTACCATCTGTGATATATGATGATAACCATCTATAAAGTCCATGACTATATATATCATGAATATTCCGTACGTTAACTAACGTTCATTTTTTATTAGTAATTTGTAACACCGAAAAAAAGGCAAGGTAGCTACAAGTGTGTAGAATAAAAATGGCCACTTCCTTAACAAGGATGTTTTAATAACGAATTCGAATTCCACGTCTTTATAAAAGAAATTATCAATATACGGAGACAAAAACCAATTTATCATTGATGCGAAGTTGAGTAAATATTATCGCATTAGCTCACTTATGATTGTTTTTAAGTAAACAATATCGATCTCTAAAGCTTACTAATGAATACCTACTGTTTTGTTTGCAACCTATTATTTGCCATCAAAAACACAAAGTGGATAGGACACACGAAATTCTGATTTTTATTACTAGTTGTGTTCTAATGAACTAGACGCATCTCACAACTAAAAAGTGAATCGTGCTTAAGTACCGATATACTAATAATAAATAGATTTATTCAGTATTATTTTTAAGGTAGAACAAGCATAACATAACCGACGGATCTGCAGCTAAGAGTGTTAGTGCATTTGTGATAGGCGAACAAATTTCATCATGAAAGTGATCGATTATCATTTTTCTAAGAATGTACTCAGCATTGATATTTCTAACAGCAATATGTGGCTTTATTTTTCCGTGAGATTTTGTTGGGTTACATCGGACTCGTCACCCAGTGTACGTCTTGAGGACGAATTCACCTTCGTTAAATCAAGATTAACATTCTAAAAAGTCGGACAATTTACATAAAATAGCAACTGTAAAAATCCCAATATTTACATCACGAATAAATGATCTTTAAAAAATCTTACTGTCACGTTTGACCAGAGTATATGTCCATAACGGGACATGTCAATTTACTTTAAATTATGTATTTATGCAACGATTATCGGTGATATCCTAAATTACCGATTTCAAAGTCGTTCATGTTGGGACAAAAAAGACATTTATGATAATGAAAAGTTAGTCATTTTATTGGTTGAATAGTAGCTAAGTATAAGACTTACTGATTACAATCTCATAGAAATCGTATTAGTAGTTGTGTATTATAGATCTGCTGTCATTAATATAGCTCACATACTTGTCCGTTAGTAAATAAACATCAGCTTTTGTAAGATAAAAAGATTTAATGTGCTTATGAAAATATATAAGTGCGTTCTATCACACACGTTCAATTGTAAAATATATACTGGTCTAGATCAGTCAGAAGCTGTTCATTATAAATCAAAAAGTACTCCGAAAAGTACTTTAAAAGGTGCCTAATCATTAAGTTGAATGGACAATTGATAGATAAGACATTCAACAATAATCCTTTCTATCTTTCAACTCATAAGTAAAATCAAATATGGTATTGAGAAAATTTTTGTTCAAACTTAAACATGAAATTGTTCCGTCCAATAACAAATTCGATAGATTTCAGTTTCAAACACATATTAGGCACATGGACTCATTATAATAATTTATCTAATCAGCACGTTTTATAAATCCACCATTCAGACGATTGCAACCAGGCAGCTGGTTTTAATGAGCTACTGAATAAGTTTAGTAAGAAACTAATTAAGCAGCTGTCTGACGTGTGAACTTCGCTGAAATGAAACAACACAGGATACGATAATTTCAACATTTTTAGTTGTAGATAGGAAAACTATGAAATCACCAATGATCTTCGAGAAGACTATAAATCAAAGAAATTCATGAGATAGCTTGATGAAAAACTGTTTTAAAGAGCAGTATTAGTATGTGAGTGAAAGTGAATTATTTCGTACAATTATTTGGTAAATTGTAATACTCGAGAGCTGAATGAGTGTTAAAAATATGAGGTGAACTTTTCTCCATACCAATAACGTGCAATTTGAAAAGATATGTATCAATATAACAAATCTTGTTAATTGAAAATCTACAAACACTACGACAATATTATTTTGATAAAGTGAGAATTTACAACAACTAACATTTCAAAATGGCTTGCCGATGATGACAGTACGAGATATATATGTTTTTTTTCCATTCTGTTATGAGGTTTTCAATAATTAGCACTGATATGACGGGTGTCTTAATTATTTTGAATGCGAGTAACTTTTAAAATTAATTTTCGCCAATCGCCTATGAATTTTAACATTTATTATTTTTCCGTTAATGTTTTACGTATTAGTATGGTATTTTCTTAGAGAAAAAACTTTTCTGTTAGGCAGATATGTTATCTTTTAATATTAGTTAATTCAGAGATCTCTCAGTCACTACGTATCATTGTATGTCATCCATCGATCAATATTCTGTTCATTCTTTTTAACAATTTAAAGTAAGTTCGCTTAGTAAATCCTAATTGACAACAGTGGCGGTAGGCGAAAACTCGATTGTTGAGATATGAATTATATCGGATGATGCGTTGAAATTCTTATTCTTCCAGTTCATGCAACCATACTTGAAATCCACCAATTCATTTCTCAAAGGGCTGAAAATTGAACAATATTCATAAACTATTTGGTCCTACTCAATTGCAGCTTAAAAAGAATGCATCATTGAGAGAAGTTTCGATTCATACGAAAGTTTAGGGGTCCTAAAGAATTAAATCAGAAAGTGAATGGTAAATCTAAAAGTCTGAGCTGATTGAAATTCAGTAGAATCGTGTCTGAATTTTCAGAAAACTAATCAGCCTCAGCTCTGAAATCTTCATCTAAATATTCTAAATGCTCAGTTTAGTCTACAGCATATTCAGCTGATCAGTCCCTTTAAACCACTTATCAAAGATACTCACGAAAACCATTGACAGCCACAATTACAGAATATCGTTGCAATTCAAACCATGTGATGAATTTTCAGCTTAAAGAGGAGAGAGGGAAATCTAAAGCTTATGTTTGATTAACCACCTGCTTTTTATTAATATGCACATTCTGTTCATTTTCTTGTAGCTAAACGTGGTCACGTTTGCCACAGTGAATGTTTACCAGAACTTGGTTGTTGGGGTGCTGAGGCTAATATGTGTGCTCATTGTTGTGGTTTAAAAGCTGGTGAGTATTGCGTGTCTCGATGCACAGATCATCCTGGCTTTTATGAACTTCCAACATCTTTCAATCATTCAATTCTAGGAAAGACCAATAATAATCCTGTTTGTCGAACTTTACCTTTAACTAAAAGTGACATGGCAAAAATGGATGAACAAGCAATCATTGCATCCGTAGTCCCTTCAGAAACATGTGCCATCTGTCATCCAGAATGTGCTCAGACATGTTATGGTCCTAATGCAAATCAATGTGTTGGAGAATGTAAGCACTACCAGGTAAGTTGCGAAGTAGTAAAAAAATTATCAATAGAATCAAATAAAACAAGTAAATGAAGCAATTTAACTAAAGTAAACTTGTTCAAACAATTGAACAAACGACCTATATTTTGAGATAATTAAATGTATATTTTTCTAAAGACAATACAAGTCGAGGTGTGAGCCGGAATTGCACATTGGATAAATGAGATAAATTAGATGTATATCAATGCAAAATAATAAAAAAAAGATAATCTGGGAAAAAGATTGACCAAAATATTACAGAGTTTAAAATAAATCAGGCTTCAAACTTGATGAAAAAACTAATGATCAATTCTATCTATGATAATTTTTTTTCAAAAATGCTTTAAAAGGTAAATATTCAATTGCCCAGTACACCCTATTTGATCAATAATTTTTATTCAGTCACTGATATGTGTAACAGAAATTCATTGTGGTTTTTCGATTTCTCTAAATGTTCCTTTTATTCGATGAATTTCTGAATATATTTCGTGTAATAGTATTTAGTTAACTATATATAAAGTTATTTTACATGGGTCAACAAAGTCATTAAAAAGAAATACTTATCCTGTAAACCTAAACTTAAATGAAGAGATTAACTGTGGATAAAATAGGCTAAATCTGAAATTCCTGAAGATAACACTAACTTTTCCCTAACTTCCAATAAGTTTAAGTTTTCGTTTTTACATTTCCTGTGTAGTGTTGTTTATTATAGAACCTAATTTTAGTCAGAAAGGAAAGTCATTAGTTTTTGCTTTTCAGAATTAATAGTATTTGTAGCTGCTTAATGGTTCGTCTATAAAAGCGATGTTTTTTACCTAACAACATTTATTACCATTATCAAATATTTTTTCAGCATGGTGATACCTGCTTACCTGAATGTCCACAAAATACATATGTAGATCCACAAACCCATTATTGTTTACCTTGTAATGAGTCGTGCAGTCACATATTGAGCACTGGGAAAAATCACTTATGTAGTGGCCCAGGGAACTTTCTTGGCTTGGGTGGTTGTGAAACATGTTGGACAGTTATACAAGGTTAGTTATCAATATTAAATCTAATCTGGAATTTCTTGTAATTATACTTCCTTTAGAAACACGGAAATCAGCAAATTATTCACAGTTGTGTCAAAATACGTAAACCACTTTAAGGATCTATCTGACTCATTGAATATTCTACACATCCATGAAATACTTCCTAAAATGGGCTTCTTATTTTTGCTTATATTCAACCATTTAGATAAGTTAGGTTAAGAATATAATTATATATATTACCTAGACACAATAAGATATTTGAATAGCAAATACAGACTTTGTTGAGATCTATTAAAAAAATTTGATATCTCTCAACAAATCATATGATTTTGTTAGTTGACTTCACTAATCTTATTTAAAAAGCGCCTCAGTTGAGTTTCTTAACTCAGGTAATAAAGAATAATTAGTCTTTCGACATAACCAAATACAGTGACTTTCCTTTGGTGACTTGTTTCTTGATCACAAATGACGGAAAATATATCGATATAACTGTGAACTCTTGTTTTCTCTAGTTTCCAAAGCATATCATTGAAATGAATTAGATCTATATTTAGTTCCTTAGATGAACTATTTCTTAGTTTTATTCCAACTAAACACTGTCAGGAAATTCCTCTGAAAGGAAACCTGATACACTGAGAAACTCTGTACACCCTCATCACTCATTACTTTCTTCTTCCTATAGGTAGGACTTTTAGAACCATTGTAAAGATTCTGATGTATGTTATAATATCGTTTACTGGGTGTAAATATCTTATAGTTCAACTTGCATCTCTGCTAGTTGACATAGTGTATTCATCAAGATTAGATTAGTAAACTATTGAACGATGACTTATTAGTCTGAAGGTTAAGAGCTCTTCGCGAAGTCTAAAGAACCTGAGTTTGATCCCTTTGTGGGCCGCGGATACTCATTTGTTGGGAGCCTCGGACTGAGACGAAACGGTTGTCTGTTACCTCTTGACTTTCAATGATTGTCTAATCAAAATCAGTCTGTGATGTTAAATTCCGAACAGTTTGTCCATCCTAGATATTCAGGACGTTTCGCAACTCAATCCCCAGTGAGTCTCGCGATGTTTGCACCTACGCAGACTCAGACGCAAATCAGTGTCATATACACAGGGATATCGTTCATATCCACTTCAATTTTCTTTTGGTTGTTCTAGTAATATATGAGCGTAAGTTCAATGACTTTACGCGACTTCAACAAGACAGTCAAATAGTATTAAAATAATCCATACAACTGAAGTTGCTTGTTCACTGAAGTTAATAATGGGGTAATATTTTTATCTGAGATTAACTTTACTGTAATAGTTATATGCTTTATTAATTAATTAAACAGAAAGTTTGTTTTTGTTTTGTCACTAGATAAGATAACAAACAAATACCAATGTCTACCCGATGATTGTCCTCCTAAACACTACACAGAATCTTATCAAACACAAGATTTTATAAACAAAGAAAAGATCATTGTATCTTCTCATAATCAAATAAAAAAAGGTGAACTTGGCGGTATGATCCGTGTGTGTAAACCGTGTCATCCATTTTGTGATTTGTGTACAGCAAACGGAACACATGCATCTATATGTCATAGTTGTACTCATTGGTGGTTTAAATCAGAATGTGTAGAGGTTTGTCCACCCGGTAGGTTATTTATTCAACAAATCTCAAGACATTTGGTCCTCTAAAATGTTTTCTTTATCTTTGATATTTTAATATCTATTTCATTGGGTTTTTTTAATGTGCAAGTAACAAAAAAGTTCCGAATTCAATAACTGTTTCATCTAAAAAAGATTGATGCTTTTCTTTCGTTTAGAAGATTTGATTCACAGCTTTGTCCGTCTCATGGAACAGTGATTTTTAGTGTGCACAAAAAGAGAGGTATTATGAAAAGAATGAAATAAGAACTTATTTCACTACTTCGCCAATCTGTCTACAAAATGAACGTTTCAGTCGAAATAAAGAACCAGCTCTCGAATGTATAACTCAATCAATTGACCCACTTAACTAATTCATTTATAACCCATTCTTGGTTACCATTGCAAGTCAGAAAATGATCACAGACGTACAATTGTATGATGTAAAGCTGCACTTATGCGGGATGGGGTAAAAAACAATAAAACTTGACTTGGAAAATCCTACCATGTAACTAATAGTTAATCAAGAGTGAACTCAAAAGTTTGGATATATGTGAAACGAAAGCAAGGAATACGGGATTTTTTTCTGAATAGTTTATTTTTTCACTTGGTTCTATGTTTACAGTGAAGACTTATGACCTATCTTTTGTAATATGTCATAAATCAAAAAATACCAAGTACCTAACCAGAATGTTATAGAAATTTTATAGACGATATATAACCCAGGCCTATCTTTTGAAAACAAACGTTTTTGTTTAGTTTATTTCCAATGACAGAATCTATTTTTACTTAGTACAGTGTATCGCAGTAATAAGGAAGACAATTTTATCTTTCATTCTCGTGTGAATCCAGTAATATTTCGGTTCCTGAGAAGTAGTCTGATAATGTGGAAAAAGTGTGACTAACTAATTCATGTTTTAAATTTACAATATGGGAATATTTCAAATTCATGAATTCATAATCTTTAACGAAAATATGGTTCTCCACCAGATTTGATGCTTTAGTGATATGGGAAATCCGACTGACGAATTGACGTTAGCCATACTTCAATGCTCATCTTCCCTAGGGTTTCTGCGCTTAGATTACATATATGCATTAATAGTTCTCAAACAATAATTCCTGTCAACTGCGTAATTGTTTAGATTTTACAAAAATCATACTCTGCATTACACCCGGATTATTATATAAAATTCATACACTCCCAAAACAGCTAAGCTAATACCCCTTCATACTCTTATTCGGATAGCTAATAATTTGTATCTTCCAAATGTATTCATTGTTTTCCTACTACTGTTAAATTAAATTGTCATTTGAAAGAAAAGGGACTAATGTAATGACAATAATTGCAGTGATAATGTTGATATTCATAAAAATAATTATGTTTTCAAGCATAAATTAACTGTGATTCGGTCAGTTTTCCTACTAATATCAATGAATACAGTAAATTATGCTATGATGTCGCCTTCAAAATGCAAACGTGTGCCCCAGATTGTGATAATAATAATGATAATAATAATAATAACAATAATAAGTAGAAGAAGAATAGCAGAAATAATAAAAAAATGATTTATTGTCTACTTATTTATTAGAATTAAGTCACAAATAAAAATATATGAATACGTCATTGTTTTTAACAATGCCAAATAAATAACATTCATCACCCCTGTTCTCCATCAGCTTTTTTTGTCTATTAGCTGGCTTCACCTGGCAATAGTTTTTTTTATTGTGTTACTGTGTGAAGTTACTGAAAGCAAAGTGTGTCAATACTATTGATGTATTTTAACACATACAAATACCTAATCTAAGGTAGTAGCTATTAATATGAGAATATTATGATCAAGCAACCGAATGGGACAAATTTGGTGTGCTAAGCTGGTGTCATGGTCAAAAGCGAAGATAAAGAAAAAGTATCAAAGCATAAAAAGTTCTTTGCTTGGTAAGAAAAGCGAAGAGAAAGAGGTTTTTAATTACAGATTAAGTGGACGTTTAACAAGACTTTCTGTTTCAAATAAGTAGGAAATAAATAAATTCAGCTTCTTTTGGTTATTTATTATGATCACTAAGTCATCTAACATGTTTACGATTTCTCTAAAGACTCTCGAGAAGATACCGAATTCATTCACTAAATGGTTATCGCAAATTTCGTGCTGAAATATGACCACATATTCGATTGCATGTCTGTTCTTCAAGTAACTTATTACCATAACAATTCGGAGAAGGAGCATATGAGTTTTTAATTTAAACAACTACATAATTAAACTAACTCAGAGTAAACGTCATATCACCGATTACAGTAACGTGATGTCTCCACTACGTACTTGTCAGAGTTTTCCATTACTCCACTAACTTTAAATAAATCAATCTTTCTACTACACCAAATGAAGGACAAAAAAAGAATTTTTCTGAAATATCCAATTTTCGCTTAAATGAACAATTCACACTCCAAGCCGTTGAGAAGTAAGACTACAATTTATGGACGACATTTGAGCAACGTTACAATGACCTTGGGATGTCCACCTACTTACTAGGATCAAATGAGAGTTATATATTAATGTCAGGGATTAGGATTTACGGTTGAATGCTAGTGACAGGAATTCAATCTAATGTTTTCATCATGAACTGACATCAGCTATAATGTCAAAATGGTATTTAACCAAACGTGTTAATGAATTTCGCGCCTAAACTCAGGATCTGCTATCTTAAGTGTGATTGGTTCGTCCATAAATTATAGATTGAGTAACTCTACATTATGATCCACTATATTTTTGCTCTTGACGACTGAAGATAATTGATACTAAGTCATCAACATAGGTTTCGAACTGGTTGACACAGCGAGACATGACTGGTTTACAATAAGTTAGCTTGAATACTACAGTTGTATAAAGTGTTAGTCATTATATCAGTATCTCACTTGAGACATCCGTAAGTGTGAAACCGTGTGACTCTGGTTCGTATTCCTTGACAATTACTATTCACTAGTACATATTCATGGTTGTTTTGAAGTTAGAATTTAGTTTGAAACTATGTACAGTTAATTTTGTTTCATAGGAATCAAGTTAACTTATCACTGTATTTGATGTATTGTTGCTTTTACCAAGGAGTTCAAATTCAATTCAATTTCTAATTATTATGAATTTCACATTAATATCATTATTATAGCGGAAACATATTCACTAGCGGGATCTGATAAAGAGTCGGACAATGAAGAAAATGATTTAATTACTCTTAGTAACAATACCCAGTTCTCATCAAATCAATTAAAAGAATTCACTTTTCTATCTAACGTTTCTGCCACCACTAATGCTAGCATTGATGCCAATCAACAAGAATACAAAACGTCCTCACTAGCAGCTCCAGTATTTCTAATTAAACTGAAACGTTCACAGCGTCGATGTTTGCTCTGTCATGAACAGTGTATTCAAGGTTGTTCTGGACCTGGTCCAGAAGATTGTGTTAAATGTAGAAATTATCAAATTATCTTGGATGAAGAAACGAATAAAGTAAGTTAATACATATCATATAGTTCTATCAAATAAGTTTAGAAATCCATCTGAAATAAGATTTTATCACTATAGTAAAATTTTTAGGAAGCACGTATAACTATAAATTAGATGGTGGTTGGAGGTAGTCAACAGGAATCCCTGCACCCGGGTTTCGTGCTACTTGGCACTCGTCAGCAAGGTGTACCTGTAATCTTGAGGGAACTGGTGCTCCCTGACCGATTCGATCTCGTGTCACCCAGCTTCACAGTCAGAGACGTTACCACTGAGCTATCCGTGAGCTATCAGTGTCGAGTCACCTAGACTGGTGGCCACATTGCAACATGATCGATAGCATTCGATCTGCACTAAATAAGGACTTGACACACATGACATTGATCACCACCCAGTGATCAATCAATTGTGACAACTTTAAATATATTTCGTGCTTAATTGAGTGCCTCATAAAAATTCACCATAATTTTGATTCTAATTTCCAAAGTATGAATGTTGTCGCTTACAATTGTTGTTATTATTCTTCATAATTGGGCTACTAAAATGAAGATTTGTTTACGTTTCAAGACCCATGTGAAAATATTTTAGGGTAACGGATATTAATGAGTTGAGTTTTTGTACGAATCAATCTTCAGAAGTTTCTACAAATTATTGCTACTTCAAAGTATAGAAAGCTTTCTAAATAACTCATGTAAATTCAATTATCAAATGGACAATGTATGTTAATATTAGTAAAACTCCTAATTTCCCTAGTTCTTTTAATGGTAGGCCGTTTATATTTCAATGAACGAAATAACATAAAGTTGCTGCAAGATACTTGAACAAGCCAAACAATTTAAATTCTGTAGTAACAACCCTTCTTTATTTCTATCCATTAAATATATGGAGTTGAATGTAACCTTTCTTTGGAATTCGTTATCACTAAGTGTCCTCATTATTGCTTCAACTGTCAGAACAAGTTGCATATTTTAGTTATTATCCATCTTATGATGTAATACTTGGTCTATAAGCCAAAATCTAAGCCTGATAGATGTTTCTGGAAGTGTAATAACTGATCTGAAAATTTTGAGATGGTTAAATGGTCATAGGTAGCAGGTACTTCGATACTGTCCTTAAAACTTTAATTATTTTATGATAAAGTTAACCGATACAATAATAAATATAGATGTTTCAAGTTCATTTAAGGTCTATTACATATGTACTTTAGTAGTTAATCGGCTGTTGATGTTTATTATTATCCAAACTGTCTTACTAAGTAGAACCTGTTATCATAAATGGATAACGGATTAGTCTAAATAATATTGCTCTCAGCACTAGTTATATGTTTTAAAATACAATTCAATCCGAAATAAGAGAAAAATAAAGAAAATATTATTTTAACTACATTTTGGCGGGAATTTTAATTTTAAGCATTTTATTGATGGTAAAATAGCTTTGACTACTTTTAATTAAAGAACCATTGTATGATAAAGCGAACTAATCAACTCTGTTTGTTCTTGTTACGTATTCCTGCGTAAATCGTACTTTCAAGACATTTCAGCACTGAGTTTGAACGATTTAAATTAAATGAAAAGTCAAAGGAGTGGATTTTCACCATGACTACAATATCGTCGACCATTAATCCCACTAATTAAAGCTCAACTTATTTTTAATTAACGAATAATACAAAATGTCTTGAAATTATATTTGGAATGGCAAACTTTATAAACCAGTACAAGCAAACAAAGTGATAATTTGAAATGGCATATGACGAAACTAACCTGGCTTCCCGATGAGTTATTCTTATGTTTCACAAAATATTTTTCGGTCTTTTCAGTTTTATTTAGTTTAAATTTCTAATTTTATTCTTAGGTAGTGTATCTTAATAAGCTAATCATCTAACCTTCTTAATACCCGTTTCATGAACTACTTATTATTATTATCTTCATTATTATCTTTATAGTAAATACGTAGTTAACCTGCCAAACTGATCTAACACCATTTATGTGGTATGGATTTAATACCTAATTTATAAATCTATATATTTGTATATTATTTTGACAACGAACTATTAAAAAGTTATGTTTATCAATGAAAATATTTAATCAAGAATTGTTATATATTTTTGCAGTAACAGATAGTTAATACTTCATTGCCTTTCATTTGCCTTTCAGTTCGTTTGTAATTCTTCCTGTCCAGAGGATCGCAATCATATTTTTCATGGCATGTGTTTAACAGCTGAACAAAATGCACGTTTATCTGGTCAAACAGCTCGAGAATTGCGTAATAGAATTCTTATTGCTGTTTCTGTTTCCATATTTATCATTATTGCACTCGTTACAATAATACTGGTGGTGTGTTTGAGACGGAAAGCTGAAGCAGAAAAAATACGTGAACAACTACGCTCAGCATATACTAACTTGTTAGAACCTGATATGAAAGTGAGTATCTAAAACAATATTCTATCAATATTTTAAATGATTATTAAAATTCATAGCTTTGGACAACCTTCTTTAATCGTAGGAAATTCTATGATTTCTCGATTGCTGGTTTGAACACCGCCCATAGGAGTGTTTCTGGGAGTTTTACTATAGTTACTTACTGATCCGTCGACGATCAGCAATAATCGGGTGACGGAAGAATAATATATCATTTCGTTTACTGAGTATGAGAATAATGAGCCATTGAGGTAAACGATGTACTGAGTAATCAATATTCTGAATATCGCATTTCAGTCTAATAGGACTGATTGGCCCTACTTATTCCTGTTGCCGGATTTCTATGATGTATTGTTTACTTCTCAGCTTACAATCATTGTGCAATCATTTGAATATCGTTGAGGTAGTATTTCAACTTCGTTATATAATAAAACATAAGAGGTTCTACTCAATCTATTTTATGTTTATGTTGGTCATGAATCCGTCTGCCAATATCTATTGCTTCCGATTCCAGCCTGTTTGCAACTAAACTTATGTGTTATAATAGCCACTTCTAATGTAACATCCAAAATTCAAGCGGAGCTTGATATGCTCTAACCGAGTATTAACTTTTTCACCTTAGCTTAGTAAAATATTAACTACTTGTGTTTATTCGTATTAAAAATACAGGTAATATCAATTTTAACTCCTAACTTTAGCCTGTATATTGAAATTATAACTCGGAATCAACTGGTATGCTTGTATCCGTATCTGTTTGGTATTTGGTTTGTTTAATTTAACACCTGCTTAAGTCATGCCGTTACTGAAAAAACTTTGTTTCATTTTCTGTGTTAAGACCCAATCCGTAAGTCGTGAACCAAACATGGGGCGGCTGGAAATGATCAATCAGGATGACTTGTCTTGTGATTTCAACTCAGCTCCTCTAGGAACAGGATCATTCGGAGCTGTATACAAAGGTGTATGGAAAGTACCTAAACATGCTCTACTTCGATATAATTGGCATAGAGGTGCTCAACTAGATGTTGCAATTAAAGTTATCTTAAATGATTCACCTGAATGTTCAGTAACCACAAACCCATCGTCCCCATTCGAAGCTGGTAATTCGTCTTATTCAGAAGAAGAAGCGAAGCGGGCGTCCGTACGTGCTAATATTGAGGAACTTCTTCAGGAAGCTAAGGTATTTAAAATATAGTTCACTTTACTGTTCTTTATTATTTAATGAACGTGAAATTATTGAAATTTCGCTAAATGTGAATTTATATGTGAGATTATTATATCATTCCACGTTGAAAAATTGGCAAATACGTCGAAAGATTAAAGGTAAGGAAGGGGTTGCAGTACAGGGTCATCATCCAATCAATCTTCCATCATAGTATGCTTGAACGATTATGTGAATTTTTAGAAACTTCAACATTAGCCTTACTGATCACTTTAATACCTGATAAAAGTCCCCTTCTGATTGAAAATAGTCACTATTGTAATTGACTCTTTTGAATTATAAATGGTGGTTACCTTTTAAATAACACTAGCCGGGACTGTTGTAAATCATTTATCAATTATTGATAATCGAATAAACACCACATAATTGCATTATCAACTAAACTGTATATACCAGTTGAGACTTTGCAAGCACACGGTGGTGTTTAATAAAATTAAAATACTTGTAGTACGAAACTAATCGATTATTATTTCAGATGAAATCACTGTGACTAAATATTCCTCTTTTAAAACATTATAGGTTAGTTTCGGTTATAATATTAATCTAGGATAATTTTTCCCACTCCTAGTATTCTTGTCTTTTGGATGCTAAAATAATAAGTACGTTTCTTTAATTTAACTACTAACAATTTTTTATAGAAACGTAATTTCACTGTTCATTTTCATATTTCTTTTCCCAAGTTCAATAACCACATATAAACTGCTTAACTAAGGTAACAACGCAATAATTCGAAATTATCATGTCGAACCTTGGTAACGATACATACAACACAATAATTTATTCGAGAAGCTATTAAGAATAAGATAGTTCTGAATAACTATTATTTTATATTCGTTAACCGATAATCATTACACCTGACAGACTTCACGAACCTCAAATTTACCTCAGGATTTCCAAGTCCACGGTATACGCTTCAGTCTATTTTAAATCGCTGGGCATCGACAATGCCAAATATTTGATACTCTGTTGAATAATCTATAGGGTAAAACATTTTACAAAACATTTATTGATTTTGGTCAATAATACTGAAACGTTTCAGTATGGGAGAAGTAGATCTATAATATTTGTTGACACTCGACGATTATTTACTTTTTGTCAGTTTGTAAATAAAGATGCCGTCCAATATCAAACAGCTGTTTTATCAAAACACTCTTAAGGGTGACCTAGACAAGTCTACCCTTGTGGTGTGTTTTGAGTTGAAATACATGTACAGACGTCATAAACAATGCGTCATAATACACTTCATCGTCTCTTTCAAACGTTTGTTATGTGTGGATTAATCTGTTTGTTGAAAAAATTATTCTTAGTATTATTTTTTTGTATCCTGCAATATTGTGTTCATTGTTTGCTGATAATACTTTCCTGTCTTACAGGTTATGGCATCTGTTATGCATCGTCATTGTCTTCCATTAATTGGAATATGTCTATCTAGTGAACGTCATTGTCTAGTTTCAATATTCGTCGAATTAGGGGCTTTGGATCGCTATGTGAAACAACATGCAGATGAGTTGAATAGTCTTACACTTTTATCTTGGGCTGAGCAAATTGCTGATGGAATGAGCTACCTGGAAATGCGTGGAATTATCCATCGGTTAGTCATTCACATATTGCTAGTTACTTTTACTACATTATATTTTCATATTTTCTACTACATTAAATGTTAGCTATTCCAAAGTTATAGTACTTTATACCATGTAGATAGATCTCTTCATTGATCACTTGTTCTTTTCACCACTCCAAATAATAATACCTAAGAACGTTAACATTTTGATAATATAACATGATTGTCTGTTTTTTCAGCAAACTTCGATGAAGTAAAATTAGAGTTGTATATTATATTCGAATTCTTCTTAATTATTCTATAAACTTACTCGACTTCACATAAGTAACTAGTACGTGGTTTGTTGACTATGATTTAATTTGTAATTTACCCATGGTGAAACATACACTCTAAAACTACACTGAGCATAATTCAATTTGTTTTCAAAACATAACTAGACAAATGTTTACTTTCTGTTACTAAATTCTCTTTTTTTCTTAATTATGCTTATGTACTGAAACATTCATTAAGAAAAAGTGTAAACACGGTTAAGTGGATAGTCTCCTTTTTAATAGTGTTAGATATGCCCTGAAGAAGCATATTCAAGAATATCATTCCAAATCAGTGTATAGTTCATTCGATTTGTATCGATAATATTTTCATCTTTATGAAATCTTAATCGTCAAAGAATAAAACAAATTTGGTAATTGATAAATTGTCATTTAGACTAAATATCGTAATCTTAATATTCAAACCATACATATTCTCACTAGAAAGTAAAAACAAAATATAGTAATTGAGTAATTTCGTCATTAATTTATTGTCAAGCATCTATTAAAAGCATGAATTTCTTCAAAACTATTTTGGACAAAACTAAGATTGTGATTAGAATTCAATACGCAGAAAAGCAAGGATATTTCTCTGACTGGAACTCAATATTTACATCAAATAGTGTGATATATTTTTCTAAGCCTATTTTGTACTTCTCATAGAAACTATTGTTTAATACTTCAACGGGTTTTTGTTCAATCTGATTGAACACCTGTATTACCTTCTCTAATGTGTCATGATAAGCTATTGCACAACGTGTTGACTGATCTTAGATGTACTTATCAATGTAATCAACCTTGGAGGTCAAGTGTTAATATGAAATGTCTTTTGACTTTGGTCGCGAATTTATCTATCTACTACTTATTAATTCACAATATTCAATAATAAAGAATAGTTGTATCACTTTGAAAACTTTCATTTAGTAGATTGTTTATTTTTATATTCAGTAAAAGGAGAAAAAGAAAACACTTCATGTTACATTTCCTCTTTTCTTAATAATACGGAAAGTTGCCAACTACAGACAGTAGATTTCGTATCTTGCAACAGTGAATCCTTAGAACTTCAGTGGGATTAGTTCTTGGTTTATGTTTCAATGTGAACACTATCACATTAACAAATGGTTGGCTAACCCAAAATAAAACGAAATATACCCCGTATATTACACTTCAAAGGTCTTCTATATCTGATCATTTTCTTAGTGGAATTTAATATAAATATTTATTTATTTTTTAAACGATGATCATGTTTTTTGTATACTTCTCCAATTTTCAGAGATTTGGCTGCCCGCAACGTTCTCGTTCAGACACGTGAACATGTACAGATTACTGATTTTGGTTTAGCTAAAATGTTAGAACGCCGTGATGAAGACAGTGTCATCGTAAAAGCTGGTCGTGTGCCAATACGTTGGTTAGCTATAGAAACACTACAATATGGGATTTATTCTCACAAAACAGATGTTTGGAGTTACGGTAAGAGGAATTTTAGATAGCTGAGTACTGATTTTATGTTATGTTTTTTTGAAGTAGTAATAAAACTTATAATTTTCCAAGATCTTAAAGATTTTTAATGACTTACAATCAGTCTCTGGAAGGTCGTTAATACTTATGTTTCAGAATAAACCACCATTGTGATCAGTATTCGAACAATTGATACTCTAATGGTTCCCTGTATGTAATAGACACAAGTAGATCTCTAGTCAATCATCTAAATTATTTTGAACTGAAAGAAATAATTGAATTCTGTTGTAAGTTGTACTTGAAATAGTCGAAGTGAGAGTAATAATTAAAACCCTTTAAAGTAGATTTTGTGACAAATATATCGTTTTAATTGGTTTTGTATTCATAGTATTATAACGTGTAAACACAAGATTTAATTTGTGAATAAGTTCAATTCTCGCTGAAGATGCGATGATGCTATACGTTTTCGAAAAAGATTTACTTCTTGATATCTTGAAATTATTCTTGTCCTTTTAGAATCTTGTCCATCCTTTGGTATTTTCATTTTGAAATAGTCGAAAAATTTTTTGAACGAAATAGATTTATCTCATTTTTTTCTCCGGCTTCAGCTCAACTGAAGAAAGATTAGAATGTCACTAATTTCAAATAATGGAGTATTTTATATCAAATAATTTTATGGTTAAAGTCTCACTAAAACTAAAACAGAAACATATAAGCAATCCGTGGAACACATTTTATTTAGATCCCATAGATTAGTCAGTATAGCACTGTTTAAGCGACTTAAAACAAACATTTTTTTCTTACAATTCTGTATTTTGTTAATCTTAGTTAGCACTTACGAGTTTATCTTAGATAACTGAATAAACTGTCAGAAATGAAATGTCGGTAAATTTGTTTATCCAACTGGCCAGTTCTTTTATAAACTACATTGTTTAACTATTTTATTTACTTTCACGTCACAACTTTTTTTGATATGATATAAAAATAATCCATTTTCCTTTATCGACTAATCTTCATACAGTTAGACATTCAGTCAATAAACACTAAGTGTACTTTAAGTCTAACATACAATACCTCTCGTTAAATGTGTTTTTTTTTAAGTTTAAAAAAGAAACCTATTTACTATTTTAAAAAACTGTGGTGTCCGTTTGGCAAATACTTACAAAATACTTTCAACCTAAAAACTAAACAATCTCAAGGTAATCTGGAAACAAACTATTTCAAGAATACTCTTTATAGATACATGACATGTAATTAGATTACTAAAAATATGGTTCATTTTAAAATCAGTCAGTTTATTGAATGGTAGTATGTAATAAGTACCCGTATCCATTTTTCTCCTGACTTCATTGAATTGAAAGTGTTTCTCAGTCAATCATCTACACATTCCTAATAGTCCAGTTTTATACACATTTGAAGTTTTTCATTCAACTACCATCGATAAAGACAAAGTGCTTATTAAAATAAAAGTTAAAAAGGTGATTTGTAACGCTCTTAAATCAGATTAAAATTAATAGAACCTTTATAAATACATTATATAGGAAAATTATATTTGAAATAAACTCAGCGATTGAAATTTAAATAATACAAACATTGTGTCCAGCAAACTCGTCTGGAATTCTTTAGAGTAAACGTTGGAATTATTTGAATTTCAATCGCTGAGATTATTTCGAATATAATTTTCACATATAATGGCTTCTTTGTACTCGGTGCCCAATTTTTGTCAAACTTTATAAAGACAGTTTTATTTGAAATTTCTCAAGTTATTGAAGTCACGAAATGATCTACATCAGATAACCATTGAGAAACTAGAGGTAGTGGATGGTCGTATCATTCTTTTAAGTGACTCTTCAACGGTATGCAACCACGGATTCGTAGCCGGGAATCGAATCCAGGATTTCCATTCTCTTACACGAACGTCTAACCTTTAAACTTCTGAGCCGGAATCCAGTGACGTGCAAGTCTAACTTCAATCAATCCAGGATGCTAAGTGACCATCTTCCTCAACGTGTGTTTATCAGAAAGGAATTAGTAATCATTATTATGGGTATCATTTGCCATCTTCTTTTCATTTATGCTTCATTGTTTGCATACAGGTGATCAAATGACATTAAGCTGAAATCCTATCACGGGTTAGGCTGTATTTCAGCACCATTTATCAACTTTGTTCATATCATAATTTGGGAGAATCGCCTATGTAAAAATTGAGAAATATTCTAATTTGAAAGTATTTTTTGACCAGAGAATTTTAGGGTTACACATATATGTGTATATAAGTATCTTCGATTTGTTACGTTCTGGAATGCATCAATGTAAAGCTTCTCTAACCATTAGTCACACAAAAAATTGATAGTACTTCACGAAAATAATTTATTGGATTTTAATTCATTTGTAGAAGTTTAAACCCTCTTGTTGTTAATGTCAATGACTGTAATCAACAAGTTTCTTTTCTCACATGTGGATCCTGAGCACAAGCCAGTGGTTATGTGAAATCAATTGCTAAATGGATAACTTATTGTACATTCGAAGTCAAATGATTAAACATCAACACGAGAGTGAGTAGATCTAGCTAAATAGTTCTAGGTAGAACGGATCTGGCGTCCTAGATTTTAATTTTAGCGATCACCAAAATTCGATTTCAACAATGTCTTGAACTATCGAAAATGTATACAAATCAACTAAGTATCAGTGATTATTGCTTGTTAGTTTGCTCCAGAAACCCTATCACATCCTCGTCGTATTTCTTCATCTTTTAATTATAAGTCAATAGAAAATTTGTATTTTTTTCATTGATTTATTATGTAACGAAAACGCAAAGATATAAATTGGATTTTGGTTAATGTATAGTTGACTGGAAGGGAGAATAAAAAAAGATAGTACTACGTAATTTAAACAATAACAGTATGCTGGTCCATTACTGAATAATAAGATTCTCAGTGGTTAAATATTAAGCACATTATCTTAACTCCCAATGAATCAGATTTCCTAATTTTATTTTAAGATCTCATTGTGATTAACGCGACGTCATATTTCTGAACTTAATAATTATCATTTTAAATAAAGTCCCTTTCAACACGTTTTGTCTTGCAGCAATCAACACATTATGTCTGCCTGAACGATACTTTGCTTATTCACTTAAATGTTTATTAGTAAGAATCTTTCTGATTATTAAACCCTTCCAAACCGATCGCGAATGAATAGGATGAACCATAAGTTGACCCTAGTCTTATTTAGAAATATTTAGGATTGTACAGAATCACAGTATTATCTTTTGAGTACACAAAGCAATCTAAATGTACCGAGGAACTGTATACATTTTACTCTTAAATGACTAGTTTTCGTAGACATATTTCAAGTGTTGTCCAGTAAACGAAATTTGCGACCAAGCCAAATGTTAAATTTATTCTTTTGACAAAATGTTCTGAAATTTAGAAAAATACGTAACCGATTGCTGGAACGAGAAAATTTATAATTAATATAACATTAACATGTTTTTGGAGATGTTATGTTCAGTGAGCTGGGTGGTTTTTTCATAAAGCCTTCATTGCCTTCATAGAAAAAAAACAATATCAGCACATACTTCTTCTTGATATATGTGCTGGTAAAGAAAGTTCCACTACTAAACCATCCAACTCAATGAATACATTTCTTAAATCCTAATACTGAGCGACAAACATTTTCCATCAACTTGTTGACAAGTCTACTAACTGTTATTAAAGCTATACACTTTATTTAATGATCATTTCATTTATATATATTATATATATTTACGCCTGTTACCCCCCGATGGAACATGGGCCGCCGACCAGTATTCTCCATCCTACTCTGTCCTGGGCCTTCTTTTCTGGTTCCATCCAATTCTTGTTCATCTTTTTCATGTCTATTTCCATATCTCGGCGTAATATGTTCTTCGGTTTTTCTCTTTCCCTTTGGCCTTGAGGATTCCATGTGAGGGCTTGTCTTGTGACGCAGTTGGGTGCTTTCCTCAATGTATGTCCTATCCACTTCCAGCGCTTCTTCCTGATTTCTTCCTCTGCTGAGATCTGGTTTGTTCTCCCCCATAGTAGGTTATTGCTAATAGTGTCTGGCCAACGAATCCGAAGTACTTTTTGTAGACAGTTGTTAATAAACACTTATATCTTCTGGATTATGGCTTTCGTAGTTCGTCAGGTTTCCGCCCCATACAGTAGAACTGTCTTGACATTTGTATTGAAAATCCTGACCTTGGTGTTGGCTGACAATTGTATTTTAATGTGTACTAATTAGACAAAAAAATATAATAAACAGAGCAGAAAAAGAACTTCAAAATTCTACAATATCTGTCAGCTTGTTTCATTGTATGACAATAGTCTTTACTTGTAAATACAAATTCACTTACTTAACAACCATGCCTAAACAAGAGTTTCAATCAGTTACATACTTTATTAGGTTCCAATGTTCACTGAATAAATTTTGTATAGTTCATTTTAAAAGTAATACATGTTTCTCTAGTTCATACTAATTCTCTGTTGAATTGATCAACTAAGCTTATGAGCCATTCAAACTTTGCAAATATAAATGTTCTTTTACATAACAATTTACCCTTTAAGAGATTTGGTTATATCACTGATAAATGGTACTTTGATCTGATGTATGCATATTTTGACTGATAAGTGTTTTTAATAGTCTAAAATTATAAATACTTTTGTTCAATAAAACACTTGACTAGTTTTTGTCTATTGAATTAAAAATTCATGATAATCCATTTTATTTCATTTATGTTTGGTTCTCTGTCAGAAATTCTCCAATAATTGCTCACTTACTCTAGTTACGCCTCACAGTCAACCAGGATTCGCCAACCAACTCGTTTCTGTCCTCTCCTTACAGATATTCTCAAATGCTGTTCATTCTTTTGATATCTGCTTCATATTCCCGACGCAATGTGTTCTTTGATTTGTCGCCTTTCCTTTATCCTTTATCCAAGTTACAGCTTATCTCATGATGCAGTTTTGTGATATCTGAAATGTGTGTCCTATCCACCACCAATGCCTTTTCCTAATTTCCTCTTCAATTGGAAGCTAGTTCGTTCTTTTCCACAATTGGTTGTTGCCGATCATATCTGGCCAACGGATGTGGAGTATCTTTCATAGACCACAGTTTCTAAAAAATTGCACCTTTTTGATAGTGGTTATAGTAGTTTTCCAAGTTTAAGCTTCGTACAATAGAACCGTCTTGTATATATTGCAAATTCCGACTTGGGTGTTGGCTGACAGCTGCTTTGAGTTGCAGATGTTTTTCAGTTGTAAGAGTAGTGTCCTTGCTTGTGCATCTATATCAGATCCTTTTTGTTTATCAATGATGCTTCCCAAGTACGTAAAAGTGTCCACCTTATCCAGAGCTTCTCCATCAAGTATGAATGGAATGGTGAACTTTTTGTTGCATTTGAATATTTTGGTTTTTCTCTTGTGAATGTTGAGGTCCACTTCTGCATGTGCTGCTGCTACACTGGTTGTGTTCACTTGCATTTGTTGGAGTTCAAGGGATAGAAGATCTAGGTGATCCATGGAGTTTAAATTGTCTAGTTGTGTACGAGGTTTCCACTGTATCATATGCTTCTCTTAAGATGCGAAAGGCCCTTATAATCCAGTCGATCACCAAAAGTGAAAGGAAGGGTGAGAGTAAGCAACCTTATTTGACACCAGTCTTCACTTTGAATGCATTTGTTAAATGACCTCTTTGCACGACTACGTTGTATGAATTCCGTATAATGTTAACAAAAATTACCAGGCATACCATGATGATGAAGCAGATTTCACGAGGTTTTCCTATCCACACTATCAACCACTTTTTCATAGTCATGTAATTTGATGTATAGTGACGAGTTCCATTCAATTGGTTGTTCAACAATGGTGTGTGCTCGATCGAGTCTTACGAAATTCAGCCTACTGATCTCGAAGCTGAAAGTCTACTGAATCTTTCATCCGGTTCAGCAACACTCTGTTGAAAACCTTTCCTTGTACTGACAGTTGTGTGGTGTTTTTATAGTTTATTTATTTATAAAACATGCTTTCAATCTTTCTTTCTATTTCTTTAATAATATTCTCTTAAGTGGATTCAGGGCTTAAATAGATGTAAATAAAATATTTTCAGTGGAATCGTTTATGCAGAAATATCGTTTCTAAAATATTTATACATCAACATTAAAGTGGAAGAACAAACGGATACTGAAGACTATCCAGTTTAACTTTAAAATAAATGAATTTACTAACTCTATTGAGAACTGAAACAACAGCATATAATTTGCTGTTCTATGCGTCATTTGTAATTTGATAATAAAACTCAATTATTCAAATAAAATCATTTGTTTGTGCATGTGTTGCTTTAAAAATGGTATTTACTTCACTAATGTGTCAATATTTACAATTTCATACTAAGTAAATAAAGGTATGCAGCGTTTAAATTAATTTTCTAAATTGAGTTTTAAAAATGGAATTCGTCCATGTGATACTACTATCAAATCATAGCAGTGTGACAGCCCACACCTAGACGGTACAGATTATATCTCAGATCTTACTGAACTGAAATATGGACGACTATTTTGTTTATTTATGGATCGCTTGATTGTATTTAAATCTAGGTTTATCTGATTAATATATCCAAATCGTTCAAATGATCCTATTTTGACTAGTTATTCTGGTATATTGTCAGTTTTCAAATTTAAACTATTTGCAAAATCTTCAGAACGGCAGTCCGATACAATTACAATGTTCATAATGTGTATTATATCGATTATTACTCAATGAAATTACCTATATTGGGCAAACAATACTTTGAATATCCCAACTTTAATATAGTTCTCATTTCTCAGTCGACTGTCTTATAGACTTCTATTTCTTGTCATCTAACGTATTCGGGAATAACTAACTTGATTTTCCGAATATCTTTCTTAATGTCGACTTTCATTACAAATAAATGTTACAAGTGGATAAAACCTAACGTGGCTCTACGCAAAGTAAAAAGCAAAGACACGGGATTCATTTGACACAATAAATAGAACAAAATTTGTGGCTGAATACACGCATTTTTATGTTTTATTCAAAAGGATTCATAGTCAAAGTTTCAGTGAATTCAACTGAGTTCTATACTTTAATCTTTCTTGGTTAATTGCCACAGTTTTAAACAACTATAGTAGTCTTCTTCAGAATGAACATATGATTATTCTAAGCCTAGCGTACATGTGTGTAAAGTGTCAAAGATGTCGCTTACACTCTTCTCATTCAATTTAAACGTTCACTGTCATACAGTCTTTATATGTCTTCTGTATTTTTTTACAGAACTGATGAAGAAACCAATATAGTAGTAGCAGATGTTTGTGAAAAGATGTACCTAACATTTTCAGAATTTTAGCAATTTAATAGTGAAAACTAAATGAAATAGTCCGTTTTCCTTTTTCTAACGTATGTACTTTTGTGCTTTCAAATTTTGTTCATTCAGCTGAACTGTAATTAATGCGGAAAAAATGTCTTCGTTATTAATAATAATGATAATAATAATTTTTATTATCTATCTTCCAATCATTTCTCCAGTTTGTTATCAAAGGGTGCACATTATTTACGAAATATAATCTCCACTCTGGTAATAATTCCTCAGAGGTTAAACATCGAAATTTTTCTTGTCAAATATATTGACTGAACAATTCATCCGGTTATTACTTTTATTAGGTGTGACGTTATGGGAAATATTTACCTTTGGCAAACGACCATATGAAGATGTTGATACTGTAGATATTAAGGATCATGTAATCAAAGGTGGACGTTTGACTCAACCTGACATATGCACTTTGGACGTTTATATGGTATTGGTGAAATGTAAGTGAATTGCATATATTATGTGCATTAGAACTAATAATAACAATTATATATATATATATATATATATATATATATATATATATATATATATATATATATATATATATATATATATATATATATATATATATATTACTGCTTATGCCTTCATCGTACGAGGGCACCTATGGTATCAAACGATAAAAATTTTGAAGTACTTTCAATCGTTTATAAACTTGATGCTAGATACACTGACGTGTTAAAGAGTTCACTTCATTTGTAAGAACAAACAGCTTGAATAGTGGTTTAGCGATGTTTAATAAAAAATTTGAAAAACTAAAATTTTCAAGGAAAAAATATATTTTTACATTTCCGCTTTAGAGGTTTATCATAAAAACTAGTCCTCTGTAAATATCCAGCACCCTCATGTTATGTTGAAAATCCGTATCTTGTATAAAATAGAACAAATGTACCCTTCTGAATATCCGCATTTCCGCCATTACTATTGGAGAAGATCTAATTTAGTTTGTCGTCAATGACTATAGATTAGGAACCTCTATGAATTGTTCACAAAAGTCAATAATGGAGTTTGTATTGGTCTACAAATGTTTCGTTTTTGTAATAACATATGTCTTTAAATAGATGAGTTCTGGTTAAAATTAGAAATCAAGACATATATTTCGTCATAATCGGGACTTGAAACCCGAATGTACCTAGATTCGAATGTTGACTTTTGCATTAGTACTCTAACACAGTAAAATGCAGAAGATTTATAACAATTTATTGCGTGTGTGCTGTTAGCTAAATACGAAATTAGAAAATACATTCTTTAACAGTACAGTTTTACGGACGTAATAAACATTTCATCGATGATCTACTTCGAGTCTGTGGATTTACGCGATCATATTGTTCATTACTATATGGTTTTCAGTCGAATCTACTCTAACTAATCATTGTGAAAACTCATCAGTAATAGATATTGGCACAAACAACAAATTTTTATTCAGCAAGTTATACCTTGACCGTAAATGTCAAATTATCTAATAAGTTATGAAATGTATAGTGATATATATCAGAGTATGTGATTGAACGAGATAAATTTGATATGTAGTTAGTAATTACCTTTTAGTTTCCGCAACAAATTTATGGCAGTAATATTTAACAAACTTTTACATTTGAAATCATTTTGCTCTGACAAAGTAGTCTATTGAGCTACGTCTATTCACCCAATAGCAAAATATATTATATACTAGTTTTTTCTTTTTCAATTGATAACCATTCAAAAATATATCGTTTACAAAATTTGTATCAATCCATCTTAAGTAACTATTTAGGAAGTAATAAAATTAAAGATCAATAGACATAATCAAAACTTATAAACCTTTATCTGTATCACATTGTATTCAGGTTGGATGGAAGATTACGAGTCTCGTCCTACATTTATTGAACTTATGCGTACATTTAATACTTTTTGCAAAACTCCTGGCCGTTATCTATACATTGAAGTAAGCTTAAAATATAAATAAAATTCAATCAAATATTGTAATATTTCATATCACATTCACATGCATATATTTGTCATGGCTTTTTAATATAGCGTTATATCAAACAAGTAACTGTAGTTTTTTTAATTCATCAACTGGAACATACATAAGTTTTATCAAAGAGAGATTTTTTAGAGAACTACATCTGTCATTAATAAAACCATCGTCTCGGTTATTCTGATATTTCCTTACTTAAACAACTAAGTGTAAAAGCAATGAACTAATTTGTAACGAACGTAAATTAGATAAATATTTGGAAACAGAACACTTTGGTTAGAAATTCTCTTGATTAATCCTGCATGATCTTGTTCGTGGATCTAGTTTCTAACTTTATACCTTAAGTATTAGTAGTAATATAAAGGTGAATTGTTGGTGTACTATTGGACGAAACTGGTGTTCTGCATAATTAACTTCAGAAATTTTGCCCATTATTTATTCACTGGTTCCATTCGTGTACCAAATACTATTAACACTGTAAGACATAATTTCATAGTTTATGCACCAGAATAATTTGACCCAAAATAATCTATAATCTTTCGTTTCTGCTACACCCTGAAGTTAATTCACCATATATAAATAAAAGTATACTAAACTACATAATCGGTTTTATCTCAATACGTAATGTTTCATAAATCTTCAAGTCATTTTGTCGTATCAGTATTAAGTGAAATTTCAATACAGCATTTAACCTAGACATTTCAGCCACTACTTTCATGTCGAAAAAATGCATCAAAATAAGAGAAAAATTGATATTATTCGACAACATTATGCTCTTGTACTTTTCAAATTCTGGTTTGTATTTTGGTGTCAGAAAAAGAATACTAAATGGCTCAAGAGATCAGATGAGATTCAGTAGACTTGAATGTGTGTAGTCCGTATATCTTAGATCTTCACAATAAAAATAATCAATATGTAATTACCGCATATTAGTACGTTTTTAGCTAACTTGAACTGCTTTAAGGCACTGCTCACAAAACGCTCATTTATATTGGGATATTTTGTGGCTCATCTATGATGTAAAAATTTCTGGTTTTCTTTCTAAATCATTTTCTTTACTTAAAAGCTGTTTACACAGTAAATTGCTCTTCGTTTCCGAATTTTTTCTTAAAACATTAAATTTATATCGTTCCATAGATAAGCGAACTCATACTTAAGAAACGAACAAATTTGAATTATAAGATAAAGAATTGATATTATCTATAAAAACTAATTAATCTGCTTCATGTCTCTAGTCCATTATTCGTTCATCCTTTGGAAACTGTTTCCATCGTAGGATAAAGTGTTATATTACTTTGAGTCTCTAGGACTTAAGTCGGGTGCAATGCAAAATGTCTACACTTAGCTATCTACCCTAATGAAAAGCTGGCTAAGTAACGATATCCATAATGATTTGTGGTTTAGTTGTTTTTCGATAGAACAATGAGATCAACTCCGTCTTCTCATTGTTCTATCGAAATTTATAAAAGGGACTAATTGCTTTAGTTATTTTTGTAAGACATTATAGTTTACTGAATTAAAATTTTAGATGGGAGGTGAAACTTCCAGTAATATATATATATATATATATAATTCACAGTAACATCTTTTGATTTTCTTTAGAATTCCGCTCTCCTAGAGGTCAGAGGCGTACCCTTTTTAACATATCAAGAAAGGCATGTTTTACTAAAAAACGAATCCAAAACGGTGTAACTTTATCTACCATTGTTCCTAGTTTAATGAATATCTTACTGTACTTGGTTGTTGTTTACTTCTGAACTTCTTGCGATATTGTCTTAGTCCTTCTGTTGTTAGCCTTTTAGTGCAAATTAACAGCTGAGAGGTTGGGTATATAACGTTTCATTTAGGAGGCAGAGTATCCTAGCATAGTTGATGGCTTTTAATACTCACCAGTTGAGTGTATCTCCCTCTTGTTACTGACCAGATTTTTAATGGATTTGATAATAATAATTTTCTCGGAACTACTTACATCCATACCACAAATCATCAAAAATAAAAACAAACTTTGTCAAAACTTCAATTTTTGTCATAGTCAAACGTAATCATTCATTCTGACTAGTTAGATCTGACGAATCCGTACATAATCAACAACAACGCAGATTGTAAGGGAATGGCAGTTCCATTACCAAAATGTTAGTTTTCTGTATTGATCATTCGCTTTATTGTTCAACGTTTGCATATTATTTGTTTCCTTGTCTTCTTACAATAATTTTAATATGAGTTACTAAATTATTTTAAAATTCCTAATACAGGGTGATCAATATGCAATCAATTACTTTCATAACACAAATTCAGGTTCTGGGAACTTTTCTTCTGAGTCTCATGAACTTCAACCAATGTTGTCCGTACGCGGGGTCCCTGATGGAGGTACAACGCCACATAGGAATAATAGTTTACATCGTCATCATACTATGTTAACAGAACCAAGTATGACTAGACCTTATTCTTCAGGAAAGCTACTTCGAGCCTTATCTGACCAGCCCAGTGAAAGATCTGATCCATTTTCCGTTGGTCAAACTGATGAACATACAGAAACACAACTTTTGCTACCCATTCGATCAAATAATGGTAACGCTGGAAACCATTCTACCTGGCAATCACGGCAGCATGGAGTTGGGACTGGAGGTTTGTCAAATACCTCTGATACAAATTTTTCAGGGCTAGGTAGAATATGGAAGAGATCAAATTTTCATGACAAAGTCAACTCAGATGATATAAGTAAGAATAATCTCTAAGTTGGATGAGTGACTTCACGTTTATAATTTTCTTCTTTTGATCACAAACCATAATATACATATTGTTTGTACATGTTTCGCCATGTAAACGTAAACTTGTAATGTGACTTATTTTAGATCCAACAGAGAATTCTTCTTAACAAATCTTTGCCATTCTCATAGATTTGATGGAATGGTTATTTAACTTGTTACGATGTAAAAACTGATAATTCAAATCTTTTCTAAAATGATATAATTAGATAACCTGTGGTTCTATACTTTACAGTTCTAGAAAGTCTGTTCAAGCAGATTAATGATGACATTTTTGACTCTTGTGTACGTGTTTATGTATCCTCACCACATATCCTTACCTCATATGTGCTAGCAAATTGAGGCTTAAGTTTAGACATTCCTAAAACTTTAAACACCTAACATAAGAGAGCTGTATGCAGAAAGTAGTTATCTGTGGTGATCTAAGAAATTGTTCATCAACTCATAAATTCCCTTTCAATATCATTCACTGAGCACCGCAAATAATATTAGTCAAAAACGTCAGAAAATAAGAAAACACATCTAGTTTTTTGTTGGTTGATAGCTTGGTCAACTTATTCACTTTGTGAATTTTTTAAGAGCTCAGTAGTACACGTGTTATATTACATAAATTTTTCCCTCGTGAATGTGAAATATGGATTGTAGAAGACCGGTGTCTAAAATTAATTATTAATTGGTTCGAAATATAGACCACTTATTTTTCTTCCTGTCTTATTTTGAACCAGAAACTAAAGTCAGATTTCTTGGCTAGCCATGAGTACACAGTTTCCGAAGATTGCACTAATTTCACTGGATTTTTCTTAATTTCTTTAAAGTAAACTAAACGATCAAATTGAATACAGAAAACTCTCAACTTTTCTTTTACTTTGTATGTGAAGAACTGTACACATTTGCCGAATTTTATTAGTTTTGTGACGAACAAAGTATCTGTGTACTAAATACCTCAGTGAAAGCAACGAATAAATTCGGAGCTTTTTCAACTTATATAAACAGTTAATCGGTTTTTTAGCTCTTTGAAACTGAAGGTTTAATAGAAGAATCTTCATCTTTAAAATCATTATTAACGTTGTATAATATTACAGTAATAACTAAGGCTCATAAAATGAAAATTCTAAGAAACATATTACTGGTTTGTTGGAATCACCGTGAAAATCCTGTAGCTAACGCAGTATAAAAAGGTGAATTCTAACTTAAATAACTACTTCTTGTAATCAATTCAAGAAAAATAGAAATCAGTATATTAATAGCACCTAACCTGACAGTAAACTTTCGTGGATGATCATAACCATTGAAAAAGTATTTCTGAAATATCTAAATGTATGTTAAAGAAAAATTTATTTCAATAATGCACAACTGATGGTGTGACTTTTCTGCAATAAACGTTTTTGTACTCAATACAGCTTTTATTGGTATTATTATGTCCTTCTTAAGCCTACTGGTTCAGTTTTTAGATATATAGGGATCAGTTCTCATTCATATCAAAGCATACAGTATATCAGTAATTTGACGTTAGATCAATTTTTAAATAATCGCAACAATTTATAGTTGGCATGTTATTTGAACTTTGTATCTCATTTTCCAACAGGTTTGGTAAAACAACACAAGGCTCCTTTGGCTTCTCGAGAGGATTCTTGGTTAAACGATATTCCTAGGCAGTCAGATCATCCTGAATCAATAAGTTCTGTTGCTTTATCTGACCCAGCTACTGCTTCTACCACTACTAAAACTTCCGAATGGTCGGGAATATCACCTTCTTATAATAAATCACGCAATCATTCCAATTTTGGTGGTAAAAATTTAGAAGAAATGAGCACTAAATTCAGTCCACGCACACATGACAATTCATCAAACAGTTTTAGAAAAAACACTGTTTCAGACTATCTGCTTGAGCCACCACCGCCACCGCCTGTATCACGTGGCTTACCAGATGACTATTTACAACCGAAGACTAAAAATCCTTCAAATATATCAAACGCATACAGTAGTGCGCTGTCAAAATCAATGAATTATACCGAATTGGGCCCACCGATGGTTACCAATGTTTCTACTACTAGAGGTTTGTGTTCAGAAATATAATACATTTCCCTATAACTTAGCTGCCATTGTAGATATACATGAAAAAACTTGACAGCTTCTTAATATCCAATGTCAAACATTGCACTAGATTATGGTTTTACTATTTTTCAAGCCCACATCATATTTCCTAATTGGCTAATTTCAATGAATGCTAAGATTAGCATACCACTGGTTACTACCTGTTGATTATCTCGTTTAATCAATCCAGCCATTTAGAACTCTATTAGTAGCCGGAATACCATGAGCTCAAAGTCTTTAGCATTGCTTCATAACTTAGTTGTTTCGGTAGCACAAGGTTGCTCTATGATTTAGTTACTCCTAACTGGAAATAAAATCATTGAATAAACCACCTGTACGATTTCTTTTACTGCGTTTTCCTATTCAATATAGAACGACACTATTTATCATACACATGGTTAACTTGCAATTTATTCAGCCTGAAAGGAACTTGTAATCTTGTAGGGCCAAAGAAATGTCACTGAATCTTGACCAAATTATCCGGCAGTCTGGTCAATGAATGTCGAACAGTCCACTGATCCTCCTCAGGGTTAAAAACAACTGGCGCGCGTCAATTAATCACACACCATGGACTGGCCCATACAGTGGTGGTCACAATTTCTTCCTTGTACCTACTTACTTACTTACTTACGCCTGTTACTCCTAATAGAGCATAGGCCGCCGACCAGCATTCTCCAACCCACTCTGTCCTGGGCCTCCTTTTCTAATTCCATCCAATTCTTGTTCATCTTTTTCATGTCTATTTCCATTTCTCGGCGTAATATGTTCTTCGGTTTTTCTCTTTCCCTTTGGCCTTGAGGATTCCATGTGAGGGCTTGTCTTGTGACGCAGTTGGGTGCTTTCCCCAATGTGTTTCCTATCCACTTCCAGCGCTTCTTCCTGATTTCCTCCTCCGCTGGGATCTTGTTTGTTCTCTCCCACAGTACGTTGTTGCTAATAGTGTCCGGCCAACGGATCCGAAGTATTTTGCGTAGATAACTGTTAATAAACACCTGTATCTTCTGGATGATGGCTTTCGTAGTTCTCCAGGTTTCCGCCCCATACAGTAGAACTGTCTTGACATTTGTATTGAAAATCCTGACCTTGGTGTTGGTTGATAGTTGCTTTGAGTTCCAGATGTTCCTCAGTTGTAAATATGCTGCTCTTGCTTTGCCGATCCGCGCCTTCACATCTGCATCAGATCCACCCTGTTCATCAATGATGCTGCCCAAATATGTAAAGGTTTTTACATCTTCCAAATCTTCTCCGTCAATTGTGATTGGATCGGTGCATGCTGTGTTGTATCAGAGAACCTTGCTCTTCCCTTTGTGTATATTAAGACCTACTGCTGCTGAGGCTGCTGCTACACTGTTCGTCTTCTCCTGCATTTGTTGTTGCGTTTGGGATAGAAGGGCCAGATCATCTGCGAAGTCCAGATCGTCCAACTGCATCCTAGATGTCCATTGTATCCCGTGCTTCCCTTCAGATGTTGATGTCTTCATGATCCAGTCGATCACCAGGAGAAAGAGAAAGTGTGAGAGTGAGCAACCTTGCCTAACACCGGTCTTCACTTCAAACGACTTTGTCGACTGTCCTCCATGCACGATTTTGCAGTGTAATCCATCATAGGAATTCCGTATGATATTGACTATCTTCTGAGGCACGCCGTAGTGTCGAAGAAGTTTCTATAGTGTTGTTCTGTCCACGCTATCAAATGCCTTTTCGTAGTCAATGAAGTTGATGTAGAGTGATGAATTCCTTTCAATTGATTGTTCCACAATGATCCGTAGAGTTGCGATTTGGTCTGTACACGATCTATCCTTACGGAATCCTGCCTGTTGGTCACGAAGTTGGGCGTCTACGCAGTCCTTCATCCTGTTTAACAATACTCTGTTGAAGACTTTTCCCGGTATTGAAAGAAGAGTGATGCCCCTGTAGTTATCACAGTTGCTGAAATCGCCTACTATTACTGATATATTTCTATATTAACCTTCTTTGTGTTGTACGGCCATCAAACTAGCCATAGTAACTGGATACGACGAAAGGGTCATCCACGTTAGGTTCTGAACACGAAGTGTGACTTCAAAGTTAGCTGGTTCGTTACACCATCCCCGTCTAACTCGAACAGGCCCCCAATCATTCAACACAGATCATCTTTATTGGTGATCTACAATCTCACATATATTTTAAAAAAGTAAATCGGCTTGAACCCTTAAACTAAACAGCTGATTACCCTGGTTATATTTGAAAACCGAAACCTGATGTTTGCTACCATGAAACCGCTTCATCTCTGATATATGACAGAGAAATATTTTTTTAACTTACGAACACTTTTACAGTTGTTGGATAATTTGATAAATTATTAACTTAAGTATACTTCATATATTATCACGTTCAAATGTATAGGTTATCATATACTTAGTCCTTATCACTGTACTAGTGATGGCAAAACAGGTTTCTAACATAACCTAACAAATCACTTTTCATAAACATATATTGAATAGAATATAACGAGATCGAATATAAAACACTGAACTTCTCATTTAATGTTCTACGCACTTAAGACATACGATATGATCCCGAGTCTCAATTAGGTGATCGACTAGGGTCTAAACAACAGTAAAAATCACCATTTTATGTTCATTTATAGTTTCAGAACTACATATATATCTTATTCTAAATCACAATATGAGAATTTTTCAAATTTGTAGTTTCATTTACAATAAATTAGTGTAAAGTATTTGGGAATAACTGTAGGACGATTGTAGACTTAATTTTTATGAACGTAAATGTTGACAGTATATCTACCAGTAAATACCCTTTTTTTTCAAATCCACGTGTATGACACAACTATGTAAATCAACGAGAAATTAAGTTCGCATAGTTGAACCAATGATGTGTTGAGTTCTGTGCTGCATTTGTTTACAAAGTAATTTTTGCTAAATTATTACACAGTAAACCGAAAAGACCATTTCTGTCTCTGTAGACTTGATTTACTTTTCCTCATTTTTTAGATGAATACTTAAGTCCGAATATGCAGCCACCAGAAGAGTACTTATCTCCAATATCCAGTGGATTTAGCGTAACCAATCCAGAGTATTTAATGGAAACATACGGTCACCCACATCAATACCCAGAGCCAAATACATTAAAACAAAGCACAAATCCTGCTAGCGATTCGAATCCCCCACCGAAATTGCAGGATAAAACAAACCAAAAGTAAACTCTATCCTGCTGCTTGTTTTTATCGTATCTGTTGTTACTGTGGTTTTTAGAAGCAGTTACTTTTTGCCTAATTAAATACATTTTAAAAACAAATTCTGCTAATAATATCAAATTTACTGTTAACACCTCTATTTGTCAACTTTCGTTTTTATTTACGTTTTACCGCCCGTTTTGTTTATATATGAAATTTCCTTGGTTTCTTTTACATATTAGTGAGTCATCCTCGCTGGAATTATAGATACAATTGTTCTGCTTTTTCCCCACCAGAATAGTGGAAAACAACAGACTATTCATTTTAAAATGATATAGCAGTGACACTGAATGTCTCTTACTTCCTTCTATTTTCATTTTATTATTTGTCATACCTATAAAAACCAAATAAAGAATGATCAATGTGTAAACACTCCGGAAGTCAATGCACAAACATGTTCACTATGGAATTTGTATGGTTCATTCGTCGTGATGATAGGTATTGACATTTTTTCAACGATTAAAGATAAAGTCAAGGATGAATGAAGAACAATAATACTGTAAGAAAAAGAGGTGCATCTCAATATTCACGTCCCCTCCTTCTCCTTCCGTATTTTTAATTTCAGTTTATTGATTATATACAAACAGATACATACTGCTTCTTACTAGCATTTATATCAAAGTATTACTTCATACCATTGCTTCCTGTGTATTTCGGGTAATTCTCTTCTCAAAAAAGCATTCAATTTATCCTGAATTATAATTGCTTGCTTATCTATGGACTCACTAAAATTGTTTGTTGGATTGTCTTTTATGCATAATTCGTTGTTCCCAAGATAGGCAGAAACCAGGACAATGAGGATATATATCGATATACCGCTTGTTCGTAATAAGCACTGTTTGCAAACACTGCCTTATAAACCAAACATGTTTTAGATGCATTTATTGTCAGATTCGACGACCTTTTAATGTAAATAGACATCATTCTTTTCGTTGTCATTTGCATGCTGGTTCTTTTTTGAACAAATAATATGAATACTCTATCTATTTTACATTCAATCCGCTATTAAAACAAATACTGAGGCGATTATGTTTTTGAAAACTACTACCTACTAAAATAATCCCAAGTAGCAAAATGAGGTTTGTTAAAATATTATACCCCAGGTAGGAATTTTCAGTCAAAAATGACAATATACCTTACCCTTTTTCTGAATTGTCACATAAAAGTAGTATCTGCACTGAGTGAGAATCAGTTATCATATGAAAAAATTCACAATTGAAAGGGAAGCATGATTGTGAATGAACTCCCAGTGGTTTCCAATTAAAATTTGCCTACATAACAAACAATTAATTTAAGCTCATAAATGTACGTTATACCATAGAATGTCTTAGTTATTCTTTTAATTACAAAACGCTTGGAAACGAAATAGTTCCATTATTTTAGACTTATCTATAACTAAGAAAACAAATGAGAGAGAACTTAGATGAAATATAAATAAATAATATATTTGTAAAATCCCAATGAGTAGAAAATTAGGTTTTATGACGTTTCGTGACTTCGTGTAAGCCACTTCTTCAGAGAATAATTAACCAAATTAAAACTAATCCAAGTTTATACTGTCTAGTTTGATGCCGCATCAAATAGACAACCTACAATCGCTCTAGGAACATCTAGAAATCAAAATATTTATTTTTATTATAGAAAATAGCTTGATCAACGACCAACTGAAATCCTTTTAGTTTCAGTTCCTAAAATCCTTCAAGCCAATAAATGTAATTAAAGCGGTTAACAGGGTGGAGAAGATAACGGATATTTATTTCCTTAAAGCAAATTTTCGAGAGTATTTTATTTATTAAGCTAGAAAAACTGAAGCCACACATTTCCCGAAAATAAATTTGTAAGGGTTTTTCTGTATAAATGCTTTTAGAAAGACCATCTTTTAAATTCACCCTTTGTTATAATTCTCTCTTATTATAACCCAGCTATTCTTGGACACCAATTCACTCGACAAGTCCCCAAGTCAGAACACAGTTGAACAGGAAAGAGAATATATCCCAAATGGCAAGGTTAGATGGAAGTAAGAAGCACAGTAGGAAAAACGTCAGTATATTTATAGTTTTTACATGAGAAGGTTCTAGTGCTCTCCAACTATCGACTAGCGCTGACTGGATAAGAATTAATCAACCAGTATGCGCCAAAGCAATCGCGCATTGAGCATGCTTTAATCCCATCTATGTCTCGCTAACACCCTTATTTTAAGAATGGAACTCATCAGTTGGTAAATTAAAAGTAATCATGTTGCTTCATACATAATTTTGTTTGGATACAACTACACCTTCCGATGAAAATAGCTAACTCGAGTGTTTATAGTGCAGCTTTTTGTTTCAATCATCCAAATAAATTACACACTTAAAAATCTACCGAGGATTTACTTTTGCCTTACAAATAAAACCATCAATCTTGTTCAGGATAGTAGCATAACAAATTATATATATATATATATATATATATATATATATATATATATATATAAACAAATAGCTAATTACAAACAACTATTCAAAGAAATATATATATATATATATCCCAACCAAAGCTGCTACCTTGACGCGGTGGTCGGGCTTGCCTATCGTGATGACCCAACCGAGCTATATTGGCTGGAACATATGTTCCTGTAGGTTCTACCATGCCAGGCAGGTTGATTGGAGAACGGTAAGACTAAAAGCAGCAACTCAAGGTCTGAGGGCGAAGTCGTACTGCTGACTGTAGAGGGGTGTGACAACAGTAAGGTGTTTCCCTCGGACAACCAGCATCTGCAGCGATGCTGCCTTCCCACAAGGAGGGGCGGAGTTAGAAAAGGTCGACTCTAAAAATGTCACACCTCACCTTACCTCACGGATTTCCGTCTCCGGCGGTAAGCCCCTTTGAAGAACGGAGCTAACTCATTAAAAACCTTCCACAAAAGGGCCGTGTGTGACCGGCCTCAAGCAGTTGTCCCTTGGGCTCTGCGGTCACGCTCCCAGGTCGTTAAGACCAACACTAATCCAATTTCATTTTCAGGTTCCTCAAGAAATACCCTTCCACGGTGTGGGCAGCCGGGAAGTGACATCAGCCCTCATACGCGTAACAGCGCACGAAACCAAGTTGGTCACATTCAAATCCTTCCTACACCTCCTAATACTTCTCTTATCTCCATGACTAACCCTCCTCAAGTCTCTTTATCATCTCGCACCGCTAGGGCAAACGATTCGGGTACGCGGAACGTTATTTCCGGTTTCCTGAAACCACGCTCTGAACTACATGTAGGAGCTTTTAACGTCCGAACACTGTGCCAAATAGGACAACAGGCTTCCTTAGCTAGGACTTTAGTATCTCGCACCATCTATGATGTTGCGTCTCCGAAACAGGCATACAGGATACCAGTAGCGTCATTCATCTGACTTCACCATGCCAAAATAAAGAACCGACTCGATTTACGCTTCGTGTATCTGAAAACCCTGATTCTGCTTCCCGTGGCCTCGCCTGCGTAGGCATAGCATTGAGTCCTAAGGCAGAACTAGCTCTCTTAGACTGGATCCCAGTAGACAGTCATTTGTGTGGTGTCCGACTAAACGGAACAGTAAGGATCCAAAAAGATAGGGACACTCGTCGTTGCCTCTTCGTCGTCTCTGCCTATTCTCCCACTGACTGCAGCACAGACGATGTAAAAGATGAGTTTTACAGAAAGCTCTCCGACATTCTCCGAAAAGCTAGGCGCTCAGATGTAGTAATAATGGCCGGTGACTTTAATGCTCAAGTAGGTAAACTAAGCGAAAGGGAAAGACACCTGGGTGGATCTTATAGCATCATGGCTCAAAGAACAGATAATGGCGACCGTCTGTTGCAGCTATGCTCGGATAAGCGCCTCTTTCTTGCAAATACTAACTTGAAGCATAAGGAAAAACATCTTTTAACATGGAGACCCCCTAATTCGTCCCAACGTTGGACCCAAATAGATCATATCGCTATCAGCCACCGATGGATGGGCTCGATAGAAGACTATCACTCATTCTGGAGCACATTGTTAGATTCAGATCAAGCTCTAGTACGAACGCGTATCTGTCTGCGTCTTACTGGACGTAGGAAAGGCGCTGCAAGTAAATCTTTTAGAGCCTTACTTAATGATAGTCAAGCTGAGAGTATATTTCAGGAACAACAAGGAAAACAGTTAGGCAGCCATGTATGTGATGCCCACCCAGAGGCACCAAGGAATGATATCCGTGAAGCTGTGGAAACAGCACTGATATCGGCTAGTACGGTAACCCATAAGGTTAGGGTACGCCACTGGATCTCATCAGCATCTGCCGCACTGATAGATGCTCGGAAACTCATCCCATCTGGCTCTGAACATAATGAAGAGCGCTGTCAGCTTAATCGCGGACTGATAAGAAGCCTACGCAATGATCGTGAACAGTGTTGGGTAGTGAAAACAAGAGAGATGGAAAGGGCAGTGGCAATAGGTAATAGCAGACAATTGTTCAGACTTGTTAAGTAAACCAGTATTAGGAAACCGACTGTTAGCGAAACACTCTCAGAGAAAGATGGACATATTATACATTCTCAATCCAGGAGATTGGATCTATGGGCAGAACACTTCAGGGATCAGTTCAACTGGTCTTCAGCCACACTTCGGTTTCTCACGATCTCCAGTCAATCTAAACGGCAAGTTGATGTAAGCCTTTTCACTCTGAAACGAGGGAGAGCAGCAGGCCCCGACAGGTTTACTCCTAAGATTTTTAAGGATGGTGGTCCAGTATTAGCAGTGAGATTAACTGAGGTCTTAGGTAGAATTTGGGGACTGGACGTAGTCCCATCTGACTGGTCTCAATCACTGATTATGCCAGTTTATAAAAAAGGCCAAAGGTCCTCTTGTGACAATCACAGAGGAATCAGTTTGACTCATATGATGTCTAAAATATTAGCTTCAATAATACTTCGACGCTTAACTGAAGCTCGTAAACAGCAAACTAGAGAAAATCAGGCCGGTTTTCGACCAGGACGTGGTTGTGTAGACCAAATATTCACACTACGTCAGATCCTAGAACATAGACACACATTCAGACGCCCCAAAATCGTAGTATTTCTCGACCTTAAGGCGACATTCGACTCTGTTGATCGTAAGGTTCTATGGCAATGTTTGTCACTGAAAGGAGTACCAAAGAAGTACATTAACCTTATTCAGGCTCTCTACTCCAACACAACTGGCCAAGTGAGAGCTTATGGCGAACTGTCATCAGAATTGATTACATCAAGTAGTGTTCGTCAGGGCTGTCCACTCTCTCCTTTCTTGTTCAACTTTGTCATTGACGTAATTTTAGAGATGACACTTTCCTCATCTAAATTTCCAGGGGTTGAACTTCTACCAGGAGGTTCACTTGTTGACTTAGAATATACCGATGACATAGTTTTATTTGGCGAAGACGCTGACAAAATGCAAAGTCTTCTGACCACCGTAAGCAACAATGCAAGCATGTTCGGGATGCGATTCTCTCCCTCGAAATACAAAATGTTGCTTGAGGATTGGGTTGCATCGACACCCGAACTAATGATAGGGAGTGAAGTAGTTGAGGGTGCCGACTGCTTCACTTATCTTGGAAGTCTCATCAACCCTTGTGGTCTGGTGTGTGACGCAATCTCAGCACGGATACAGAAAGCTCGACTAGCTTTTGCCGACTTGCGTCATTTATGACGTAGGCGAGATATCCGTCTATCAACCAAAGGACGGGTTTACTGCGCAGCAGTTCGTTCCGTCTTACTTTATGGCAGTGAAACATGGTTGGTAAAAGTAGAGGATATTCGTAGACCACTAATATTTGATCATAGGTGTCTTCGAAACATTACTCGTATATCCTGGGACCATCGAGTAAATAATGCAGTTGTTAGGAAACAGGTGCTAGGTAAGGATGGCAAATCAATTGATGAAGTGTTGAAACTTCATCAGTTGAGATGGCTGGGACACGTGTTACATATGCCCAACGACCGACTGCCTCGATGTGCGATGTTCAGTGGTATAGGAGTAGATTGGAAGAAAGCTAGGGGCGGCCAGACCAAAACATGGCACAAATCCATGAAGTCACTGACAAGTGGACTGAGTCATGTTGGTAGGTGTAGACTACCTGGTTGGGGACCGCGAGATGATAG